GATACCAGTTTGATTTTGTACTCTGCCATTTTTTGTGTTTGAAGTTTGGGGGGTCTTATCTGATTAAATATGAACACGTAATTTCAAGAAAGTTAATTAACGATAGGTTTTTTTTTCTAAAAAAAAAATAAAACAATAAAATAAAGTAACACTCTCGCGACAGTGCTTTATTTCATACAAAAAAGCTGCTAAAATACAACTAGCTTGCAAACATAATTAGGAATGATATACAATCAAATGTCTTACACAAAATACGTAAAACGCCATGCCACGCCAAACGCCTGCTCCCTCTACACGCGATCCAAAGACAGCATAGCCAAAACTACGCAACGGGCTGGCCGACCGCTTGCCGCTTCTTCTCCTTGTTGTCCACGGGCTTTGCATCGTTGACCTTGAGCCACTCGCCATTGAAGGCATTAATGAGCCAGTTTTCGAGTTCTGGGGTGGTTAGCAGGACAAAGACAAAAACACATAACAAACATAAACATGCAAGTACAAACGTACTGTCGTAGACAATCGTGTTGCCGTTGTGAAAGTAGATGCCGTGGTCGCTGTCCGGGAAGACGTGCACGTCGTAGTTGCTGACGCCCGCCAGGTCGAGGCGGTCCAGCAGCGCCAGCGAGTTTTGAAAGTGCACATTGTCGTCGGCGACGCCGTGCATGACGAGGAAGCGCGCGTTCTGCGCGAGCGCGGTCGCGTTCTGCACGCTGCTGGCGTCGTAGCCGGCCGCATTGGCCTGCGGCGTGTTCATGTAGCGCTCCGTGTAGATGGAGTCGTAGAAGCGCCAGTCGGTCACGGGCGCGACCGCCATGCCATACGAAAACGTCTGCCCGGCATCCTGCTCGAGCGTCTTGAGCGTCGTGAACCCGCCGTACGACCAGCCCCAGAGGGCGAGGCGCTTGGCGTCCACGTACGGCAGCGCCGCCCAGTGCTTGGCCGCCGCAATGTGGTCGTGGGCCTCGACGACGCCGATGCGGCCGCGGACGAGCACGCGGTTCTTGCGCCCCATGTAGCCCGTGCCGCGCGGGTCGACCGTCACGACAACGTAGCCCAGACTGGCGGCCACGTACGCCTGGAAATCCACGCGGAACTCGTGCTTGACCTCCTGCGACCCGGGGCCGCTGTACTGCTGGAAGAGCACCGGGTACGTCTTGTGCGGGTCAAAGTGCGGCGGCCGGCGCTCGACATAGTTGAGCTGCACAGGCGGGTCGCCGGCGTCGTAGCCGGGCACCTCGAGCGTGCCGTAGATGCGCAGGGGCAGGGCGTGCTTTTTCGCACGGTCCGCCAGCTCGGCGTTGTCTTGCAGCATGTGCTCAAAGGTCGCTGTCGATCCGGACGACGATGCGGCCGCGGCCGCGGCCGGTGTGCTAATCACCTTTTGCCAGGGAATCCCCGGCCCGCGGTACTCGAGCAGCACGTAGCCCGCGCCGGCCGAAAAGGACGCGGCGTAAAAGCCTTCGGCCGACGTGTCGGTCAGCGCCGTCGGGCCGCTGCCGCCGTGCAAGTCGACACTGTAGACGTGGCGCTGTGTCGCGCCCTGGATGGTGGCGACAAAGTACACCAGGTTCCGCTCGAGGTCGACGCCGGACGGCGCGCTGACAACTTCCCAGTCCGGGCCCGTGGTGAGCATGATGGGGTCGGGGTTCTCGGGCGGCGTAAAGTACGCCAGGTGGTCGCCGTTGTTGTAGACAATGGTGTCAATGTAGCCGTCGTCCGGCCGTTGGCGCGCCGGGTTGGCGGGCACATAGCGCGTCGTTGTCGAGATCTCGAACCAGCCGCCGTCGATGTGGCCGACGTCGACGGTGCGCACGGCCTGGCCCGTGCGCGCGCCCACGTCGACCACCACGACGCGCATCACGTCGCTGATGCGGTTGGTCTCCTTGACGAGCACCTTGTGCGGGCCGGCCCACAGCACCGTGGTGATGAGGCGGTTGTCGTCTGCAAAGTCGCCCGAGACGGGCACCGTGAAGACGTCGCCCTTGGCCACATCGTAAAACTGCAGCTTGACGACAGGGTTGTGCGCGCCCGCCTTGGGGTACTTGATCTGGCGCACCTCCGGGTAGTTCTCCTCGCCCGGCAGCGGGTCGGTCAGACTGGGCCGCTCGATAAAGTACTGGACCGGGTACTCGGGCACCCCGGTCTCGTTGGTGCGCAGAAACGCCAGGTAATGGCCGTCGGGCGACCACCACGTGGCGCTGGCGCCCGCAAAGACCTCTTCCTCGTACACCCAGTCGGGCACGCCGTAAAACAGCTCGGCGCCGCCGTCCGTGGTGACTTGCTTCACGGGGCTCGCGGCGAGCAGACTGGCGTCGGCGGGCACCGGCCGCAGAAACAAGTTGTTGTCGCGCGTAAACGAAACGGCGTCGCTCGCGGGGCTCCACTGCGCCAGCTGGATGCGCGCGTCGGGCTCGCCGGGCACGAGCGGCTCGACCGCCTGCGAGGCCACGTCCAGGACAAAGTAGGACGCCGTCGACGAGTGCCGCCAGTTGGACTTGGTGTTGACGCCCAGCAGCACCTTGGCCATGTTTTTGCTGGGCAGCGTCGTGCTGATGACGTACCGCGTCGGGCCGTACTGGAAGGCAGCGTCTTTTACGAGGGTGCGGCTGAAGATGGTGGTGCTGGACGAGGCATCGGTATTGGCACCGGCATTGGCACCGGCACTGCTTGCCAGGCTGTGCACGTCCTCGGCCGCCAGAAACACCTTGCCCGGCACGTCGCGGCTGGTCTCGAGCAGCAGGCCGTCCTCGCCGGCCGGGCCGCCCACCCACTTGATGCTGGCGCGCTTGGGCGAAAAGTAGCCCTCGGCCAGCTGGGCGCGCGTAATCTTGCGCAAGCTGCCGCGTGCTGCCGTGGCCATCGGGTCGTGCTCGTAGTTGGAGCCGTGCACGTAGGAGTGGTGTGTCACGTAGATGGCGAGACCGCCGAACCAGGCGACGGCAATCATGGCGGTGAAGATGAGGACCAGCCGCCGCAGGCCGGGGTCCATCTTGGTGTAACGGACGGACGTTGTATACGACGGGCTGTCTCCGTCCGCCGCGCCGTTTCGGTCTCGCTCTCGGTCTCGGCGGTTGGCGTCTGCGCCATGGCCGTTGGCACTGTTGTTGCTGTTGGTCCCGCCCAGGAACGGCCCGGTCTCGAGATCGTAGTCGGCGCTGTTCTCGTCCTTGAGCGGGTCGTCGTCGTCAAAGTCGGACAGCCGGTCGCGATGGGCACGGCCGGGGCTGCCGGCGTTGTCCTGTGTGCTGCCCTTGCGCGAGGACCGGGATGCATTGGCCGTCGACTCCATGTCGGCACGCTCGCTGATGCGCTCGAGGATGAGACTGGCTGTCGAGACGGACGACAGCGACTCGTGCGACATGCGGTGGCCATGGTCGGTGTTATCGTCGTCGTCGTCGGCGAAAAACGGCGGCGTCAGGGACGAAGCATCGGCCGGCGGCGGTGGGGAGAGCGGTCGTGCGGCCATGTTGGGGGGTTGGGGAGACGTAGAGACGGACGTCTCAAGGTCTTGGGTCGGAGGGCGAGGATCTCGGGGTGTAGGGACGTTGTCGAGACAAGACTGGTTATCGTTTCGGGTTACCGTCTCAGACAAGGCATGGTTTGACACCTGCCCCCGTGCTGTCTGGCGCTCCGTCTGCTCAAAGGACAAGGGCCGAGCATCAATCTAGATAACAAGACAGAACGTTTGACGGCTTCGAGAGCAAGTCGAGAGAAACGAGCGATTGACAAAAGCAATGAACGACCGTCGACCAAACGCAGTGTGCAATGTCAAAACAAAACACAAAAAGAGGCCAGCCTCTTTGGTTGCCTGGGGGCGGATGGGGTGTAGTGTCGCAAAGAGGTGTCTGTGTGTCCGTTGCGTGTCAACCTGTTGGATGGAGAAAGGAGTAAGGAGAGCTGTCTCTTGTCCTCTCCGGCGATGCTCTTTTGGAGAGCTATTGAGCACCCGATTGGGAAAGCCTGGCTGGCACAGGCTACAAAGAAAAGGACCAAAGGTCTAAAGGGAAGGAAAGAACGTTGTTGCCCGTCAAAGGGAGTTGGCGAGAGCGAGGCAAGAGCGATCGGTGGCGGGCTAGCACGCGCAATAGGGTCGCGACAGTTTGCGTTGGTGGCACGCCTTTTGGCCTTTTGGCTCTCTGGGCTTCAGCCGTCAGGGGCATCTGTTTCCGGCCACCTGCTGTTTCGTCATCTGCCGCCAAGCACCCAAGGCCTGGCTTCTCTGGGCGGCCGGGCGGGCATTGGCTAATTCGGCGCAGGGGTAATTACAGTGGAGCTCACGCTCACGCCTCAGGAGCCAACGTGCTAACGTGCTAATTGTTAATAGTGTTAAGCCAACTGCGGCCGCATCGACAAGTTCTTCATAATACATCACGACCACCGTCAACAGGCACAGGTTTGTTAAGAGTGATTAAAATTTCTGAACTTAGCTATGGTACATGAAAGCGCAAAGACAAATAAAAGAGATACAAGGAAATGGGTGTTTTGCGAGAGACGTTTTGGGTCGCGTGTTTTTTTTTCGTTCAGATGATCGAGAACACATTTCCACCACCACACGCCGTTTTGGTTACATAGCCACAGAGAAGTAAGGAAATGATAAAAAGCAAATCAAAGTCGGACACGCACAAGGCAACAGAAAACAGCAACTAAAAAAATAAAAAGCGCAGCAAACACCCCTCGTTCGTCGAACGTATACAAACCGTCTTTTTCGTCTCTTCTCCAACCAACCTCGACTGTCTTCGCTCTTCTCCCCGAAAGGGACAACAAAACAGAAGAGACCAGACCAGCTAGCACGCCACCGGATGTTGGCAGGTGCATGGCTGGCGAGGAACCGCAAGCCGCGTCGGCGCATACGGGAGTGGATAGAACCACGCGTGTGGCGCGCCAACGCCGCCGTGCGGCGGGAGAGAAGCAGGCGTTGGAGGGGTGGGCGCGGGCGCGGGTGCGGGCGTCGTCATGGAGGGTGTCATTATGGCTGTGAACATGGGGCCAGCCGAAGTCTGCCTCTAGAACCCGAATCCGGTAGGCTGCGGGGCGAAGCCGTTCGCGCCTGCAAACGGCGCGGGCGACGCACGGCCCACGCTGCCGCCGGCACCCGTCGGCCCGGCCGTGATCATCAGCCGGTTGCCGCCCAGGATCGGCGTGTTGTCCTCGACCGTCTCCTGCTCCTTCTCCTTGGCCTTGCGCTCCTCGTTGTCCGCCTTGAGCACCGCCAGCTCCTTGGTCTGCTGGGCCAGCAGGTTGATCAGGTACGGCATCGTAAAGTCCGTCAGGCCGTGGCGCCACGAGAGCTCCAGCACAACGTCGGGCCGGATCAGGTCGTGGCACGCGTACAGCATGCCCACGTAGCACTCGCGGTTGCCCGTGTCCACAAAGTAGCGCAGCAGCTCCTCGACGACCTCGCTCTTGCCCGAGATGGCCGCCGTCTCGACGGCGTCCTTCCACAGCTTGTCCTGCTTCGAGAGCGCAATCGACTTCTCCCACCGCTTGTTCTTGCGGTAGATGTTGGCGGCAATCTGGCGGAAGAAGACCAGGTCGTGCTTCTCCAGCCGGGCGGCCAGGTCCACCGGGTCGTAGTTGTCGTAGTGCTCGACCGAGTCGCGCAGCGTCTTGTAGTCCTCCTCCTCGATCAGCAGGTCGTTGATCGCATCGTTGACCGCGCGCTTGTTCTGCGACTGCACGTTGAGCAGGAACGGCTTGATCAGCGGCAGGTTGTCCGACTTCTGGAACATGCGCACCACACGGTTGACGTCGATGCGCGGCGTCAGCGCCTGCAGCAGGTCCGTGATCAGCGACGGGTGCTGCTCCAGGTAGAAGTTGATGGCCTTGTAGTAAATCTCCAGGTTGGCCACCTTGACCACAATCTCCTTGAACTGCTGGTGTTCCCACGAGTTCTCGGGCCGCTCAATCACCGCCAGCGCCGCGTTGTCAAACTCGTCGTAGTGGTAGTAGCAGAAAATCAGCTCGGGCCACAGGTTGGCCTCCTCGCAGGCACGGATCATCTTGGGCAGGTTCATGCGGCTCCAGAACAGCTTCAGGTGCTCCATCAGCCGGTCCGGCGTGTATCTCGACAGCGCAATGCCGAGCTCCGTGAACATGGCCATGTGCGCACGCTCCAGGCCGAGACCCTGCTCGAGCAGGTTGATCAGCTCGTCAAAGTAGCCGTTGCGCTCGTACTGCTTGACGAGCTGCTGCAGCTGGTCGGCGTCGATGATGAGGTTCAGGCCGCAGATCAGCGCAAGGCGGAACTCCTTCTTCTCCACGCACGCCTCGTGCACCTCGCGCCACACCTTGATGTTGTTGGCCTTGCGGGCCGCCTCCACAGCCGCCTGGTAGTCGCCGAGGTGCACCAGCGTCGTCGCGAGCTTGGCCCAGTTAGAGATGCTCGAGAAGAAGATCTTGGCCGCCTCAAAGAGACCCTCGCCATACGCCTTGTCGCCGGACTCCTCAATGTTGGCCACGTTCGTGCCGCGCAAAAAGTCCTCCAGCTCCGGCAAGTTGTCCAGGCGCGCATAGCAGAAGGCGAGCGCGGTGTCAATGGCAGGCTCGCGCAGCGTCTTGCGCGACATCAGCAGGTACTTGACAAGCTCCTCGTTCTTGCCCGCGTGGGTGGCCGTCTCGATGACCTCCTCGTAGTTCTTGGGGTCCTGCGCCTTGATGTACGAGTCGATGGAGTCGCTCACGCGCAGGCCGTCCAGCTGGGCTTTGGCAACGCGGCTCCAGACCTCGGGGCTGTCGACCTCCTCGGCGTATGCCTGGGCACGGTCGATGCTAACAACGTGCTCGACAAGAACGTTGACGGCGCTGGCGCTGTCGTTGATCTTCTTGAAGATCTCAAACGCTTCCTCGTACAGGCCGACGTTGATGCAGGCCGCCGAGATCTCTTGCGGGTCGAACGCATCGAGCTTGTGAATGTAGTCCATGACACGGGCCTTGTCGGCCGTGGTGGCCGTAAACAGCAGTAGGTTCTGCAAGCTCTGGTTGTCGCTGAAGGGAGACGGCTCCAGCACGATCTTCTCGAGGAGCTCGATAAGCTCGGCCGGCAGATCGGCCTTGAGGAAGCAAGCAACGGCCTCCGACACCTTGGTGGGGTCAGTGCACTCGGGCACGGCCGTAGAGATCACCTGGTCAATGACCGAGCGGCGGTGGATGTTGTTCTCGCTCAGGACGAACTGCCACAGCTCACGGTCGGCACGCTCAAGCAAGTAGCGGGCTTGGGCGCGGTACATGGAGTTCTCGTTGGTGACATTGACGAGCTCCAGGTCGTTCTGGCCCTTGCTGTAGGCGATGTAGGCCAGGTTGGGATCGCGCTTCTCGCAGTACTTGCCGACGGACAGGGTATCGTACTGGTCGTTCTCCTTGAGGAACTTCTCGGGGTTGTTGTTGGAGTCAATGTAGATCTTGGCGAGCGCGTTGTAGATGGCCTGGTCGTGGTTGCCCGCAGCCAGAGCAGACTCGAGGAAAGGCAGCAGCAGCTTGAGGCGGTTGCGCGACTCCACCTCCGACACCAGCTGGTCAATGGGGATCGGGCCCGGCTGCACGGACGCAAGCAGGTTCTTGATGATGTTCTCGTCGCAGTCAACATCGAGCAGACCGCCGATGACGGCAGGCGTCCGCGACGGGTTGATGCGCTGAACATAGGCCTCAATGGACTGGAACTGCTGGTTCTGGTAGAGGAAGAGGATCAGGTCGTGGACAAGGTTGAAGCGGTCGCAGACAATGATCAGCGGCAGCTGATCCTGCAGCTTGGCCTCCTTGAGGAAGTTCTTGACCTTCTCGGCGTTGTAGTGGTTGCTCTCGCGGCAAATGCGCTCGACCTCCTGGAACTGGCCCATCTTGGTGGCAGCCTCAATGTACTTGAAGTGCACCTCCGAGTCCTCCGACAGGTTGACAATGCTACCCAGGTAGTAGTACAGGCCCTCGGACGTCTTGTACTTCTCGAACAGGTCGACGAGGTTCTGGGGGCCCAGGAGGTCCGAGTACTTGGTGGCGATCTGGACAACGGACTGGAGGTTCTGGCGGATGTTGTGCTTCATCATGGCATCCAGGCAGTCCAGGGATTGCTCGACAGAGAGCTTGCCAAAGAACGTGGTGAGCCACTCCGGGTCGAAGTCGGCCGTGCCGGGGACGTTGATAACGACACGCTTGACGGCAGCGGGGTCCTCGTAGAGATCCAGAGCCCAGCGGAACAGACCGGCCTGCTCACACAGCTTGGCAATCTGTGCCTTGTCGAAGTGCGTGAACATTTGGTTGCTGAGGATGGCGTCGGCCACCTGGGGCGCGTTCAGGAGATTCATCTCCAGGAGGCGGGTCTGGAGGTGAGCCTGCTCGGGGCGGTTCTCCTTCAAAGCGTCAATGAGGAACGCAGTGACCTGCGGCAGCAGGCTCTGCGACTGGAACACGTCGACGGCGCGCTCGAGGTCGATCAGGGGGCCGCCCTCGTTGTTGGCCAGCATGGTCGCGAACTCGACAGCCTTGTCTGGGTTGGCGCGGGCGACGTGCTGCAGGAGCTGCATGTAGTCGGGGGTGTAGCCGGCTTTAGTGGCGTATGGAATGATCTCGTTAAAGCGGTTAGCTTGGGCGAGCGAGGCGACGACCTTGTGGGGCACGTTGGCCTTGAGGTAGATGCGCAGAGCCAGGGCCAGATCCAGCGGCCGGACCATGTCACCCAGCTGCTCCGAGCTGTACAGCTTGTCCTCCTTGGCCCACTTCTCGAGAAGCTCGGTGCGCTTCTGGGCGACAACGGGTTGGGCCAGCTCCAGCGTCTCGGTCATGTTCAGACTGCCCTTGTCGAGCAGCAGACCAAAGTACTGCAGGATGTACGACATCTGGCCGGGCTGTTGGGGAAGCCGCTTGAACTTCTCAATGGTCTCCGACGTGCGCAGGAAGCCCTGCGGCGAGTTGGCGGCCACGCGGGCAGCCTCAACGTAGTTGCCGGCGTTGAAGAGCTGCTCGAACTGACGGCCATAGAGCTGCTCGGCGCCAGGCAGGTCGCCACGGGAGGCAATCTTAATCGCCAACTCAGTGTTGGCCGGGTTCTGGAGAAGGTAGGGGATGATGGTCGTCTCGTCAACCTTGACGGACAGGGTCTGACCCTTGCGGTTGATACCGACAACGCCAGTCGACTCGCTGTCCGTGCAAGATACGAAGATGGTCTCGCTCGACATGCGGTTCATGAAGATGCAGGTGCCAGTCTCAATGTCGTACAGGTGGATGAAGCCGTACTTGGTGATGAGGTAGACGATGCCATACTTCTGCGACACCTGAACCGCAACGGGGAAATCGTTAACGGCCTCCGCGGGGAAATAGACATCGACGGCCTTCTTGGGGAAGGCGGGGTTGGCGTCGGGCTTGTCGATCTCGACAATGTGCAGCTTCGCGGCGGCGGCAGTGCGAACGGCGAAGACGAACAGCTTCGAGACCTGAGGGGCGCCGTCCATCTGGTATGTGGCGAAGGAAGCGGCGTGGCCCTCGATGGCCTGGCTAACACCGCGCTCTTTGGAGTAGAGCTGGATGGAGCCAACGACACGGCCCTGCTGCTGAGAAATGCCGACGACGGCCATCCATTTGCTGTCGGCGTCGATGCGGTAGTTGATGATCTGGCAGGCCTGGAGGAGTGGGAAACAGTGGGGTTAGATTACTGTGGATTCGCGACCGCCTTGGTAACTGAGCAGGCGCCTCTAGCAGACGGACAGCAACCAGAAACCGGACCTGCCAAAGAACAGGGAACGAGGGAACGGGTTAAGAGCTTACGTTCATCGCGGCATTCCGCTTGAAGACCTCCACAGGGGCCTTGTTCGCCTCAAACACGTCCCAGTGGTGCACGCCAGTCTCGGTGACGAGGCCAATGGTGCTCTCGCTGATCCACTTCCAGTAGACGACGTCCTCGTTTGTGGTTGCCGAGTTCAACTTGGCCTTCTTCTCGAGGTCAAAGATCTGGAGTGTCCGGGACTGGGCCCGCAGGGCAATGACGGGACGCGACCAGTGCATGATGGCGCTGTCGGCCTTGATGCCACGGCGCATCACATTGCTGAGGTTCTGGAGGTCCACGATGACGACTTCGGGCGAAGCGGCCTCGTTCTTCTTCTCGCGGACGCAGACGTATCGGTCGGACTCTAATGTCTATAGAAGGGATTAGCAGGTGTGTTGTGAGTAAAAGGCGAGACGAAAGAGAAGACGCCAGATGAGATTAGGCCCCTCTTCGGAGTTCGCCCAACGGCACGAAGGAGGGGCCAGAAAACGCGTCGCAATGTTGACTGCACGTACGCAAGAGTTGAAGCCGATGGCCTGGCTGTCGATACCGATCGAAGTGAGCTGGACGATCTCGCCCAGCTTGATGGGTAGCGGTGCCATGGTTGGTGGCTGTGTGCGGGAGACAAGCTCTCGATCAAGCTGACGAAAACAAGAGAGGGCGCGGTGATGCGCAGGCTAGGTCGACGAGCTCGCCGGCAATGGATGGGCAAAGAGAGAGACGCTCGATTCGACGACGGTTGGATGAGGGTTCGCGAGATCAACAGGAACCGGGTCTGCTGAGAAGACAAACGAAAGCTGTCGGGACGAAAAGGAGAGAATGAGGAGGTAGTTTACGGAATCCGTTAGCTTCCCGCACAAGCGGGAAATAGGCGGCAGGGGGGAGATAGAAGCTGAAAAGGAGCGAACGGAAGCAACAAATCAATTAATGACACAGTCAAAGAAGAGAAGAAGGATGCAAGGTGCAAAGAAGAGATGGGCCTCGAATGGGGGGTGGAAGATGGTGAGAGGCTCGGATGCGATGGGATGCGAGGAGGAGAGAGAAGAGAAGGAGGGAAATTTGGGGCCTGGAGAGGGAAAGGGTGAAATTAGGTTGCTACAGGGTACCGTATCCTCTTCTGCTTCCAGAAGGAAGGAGCGACCCAGGGCGTTCTGGGGGGCCGACGCGCTGTGTCCCTTCCTGCTGCAGTTGGACGTGGCGCTGGTCGCAGCTTGCCTGGCCTGTGCACGGGCCGTTCAGGGGTGAATAAGCGGGAGCTCTGCTGTCACGTGCAACAAGTTAGATTAGGTTTCTTCAGGAAAACTGGCGGGAACGCGCAGAAGAATGCGCCCAAGTAGGAAGGAACGCGCACAGCAATTGAGGCCAGATAGCTCCTGAGCTTCCCTGTTTCCGTGCTGGGCAATGGACACACCACTGTGGCCTTTGTTTTTACTTTCTTTAGGTTTCATTTTTATTTTCTACACTTTCTTCTTGACATTGACAAACATATTCACTAGTTTTGCAACACATTTGTGAGATTGCCCAGCGCATCCCGAATATCTGCGGCAAACCGGACTTTAGGCAGCGACAAACCGGGAAGGGGCAGGTCCTCAGGCGCGGCTTCATGCAGGAAGTGACGCAACAGCTGTTTCCAATTCGGCCAATTCGTCACGTGATACAAGGTGGTCATGGGCGGCAGAAACGACGAAATCAACATGAGCTGAGCGAAGCTTCTGATGCGATGTGTACGTTACAGTGCAGAGTACGGTTACCGGCGGGTAACGTGTCTGACAACGTTCAATAGAACAGGCTCTTGGGGTCCAGTGCGCAAGCCACGAGTTGGCCGCGTATCTGAACGGGCTATGAAGGTGTCGGGATAAACAAATCAAACCGCAAGGATGTCCACTACTCTCGACAAGCGGAGGCCGGAACAAAGTGACAAAGGTGGTCAAGCGAGGGACAAGGACACAGTTCGGAATGGGCCCTTCAAATACCAGCGTTGCGCGGTGCTTCGGTCGGCGAAATCGCAACGGGATCCGTTGTCCAGCTCGGATGCCGTCTCGTCGCATCTCTCTTTGTGCTCTCGTCAGCTTCTCTGCCACCGCTACCGACCGCGGCTGCCAGACACATGTCACCGTTTTTTATCTGTATGCGCAAGGGAAAGAAATGTTTGCTCAATCATTGCGACCCTTCCCACCGCCCAAAAGAGGACAGGGAAGCGCCGCACCCAAGATTGTTCAAATATGGTTTGTTCTCCGTTTTGTCGAAAAAGAGATAGGAAAATGTCCTGGGAGCTACTTGTTCCAAGGAGCAAGGTCCTCGTTCCCCCAATAAGTCATCGATTTCGTAAACGTGTTTTAATTGCGTTGTTCATGAAGAAGAAAAAAGAAGAAAAAGAAGGACAAGAAAATTTGGGCGAGCCCCAATCGGTATATATTATGGTGCCTGCCAAAAAATTAAAGCGGGGAACCAGCTGCCAATCGTGCCTCAGGCCAAAATCTGCTACCAACACCTTCGACGTTTCCTACAGCGCTAGGACCTCCTTGAATAGGGAAAGTGGGGCCTCGTCAGTGACGCGGGCTAGAACGGCATTGCACACGTACTTTCCCAGCTTGTCGGTCACAAGCTGCGACGTGCAACGTACAAATGCTGGCTTTCAGTCGTGAAACTACGGGCGCATTTTCTTCAACCTCCTAACCTCATCACAGACCACGATGGCCCTCCAACAATCCCTGCCGCGCTTTTTGCTACCGCAGCTGAGCTGGAATGCACCCGTGCGAGAAGCCCACGCAAAGCCGATGCTTTTCCGCCTCGCCGCGACCGCGGCCGCCTTTTCTACAAGCACAACAACGGTCCCCCGCGGCCGCCCACAGACACAGACAAGGCATTCGCAATCGCCAAGCCCAGTCTGCAGGGCGTTCACAGGACCGCCCTCCTCCCCTCTGGCCCGCCGCGCGTTCCACGCCGCAGCGGTGCGCCGCCGCGACCACCACTTTGACACGCTCAAGTTTGTGCAGCGGCTGCAGGACGACGGCTTCACCGAGGACCAGTCGGTGGCCATGATGAAGGTGCTCAACGACGTCATTGAGGAGAGCATCCAGAACCTGACGCGGACCATGGTGCTGCGGGAGGACGCGGCCAAGGCGACGTACACGCAGAAAGTGGACTTTGCCAAGCTGCGGAGCGAGCTGCTGTCGGCCGACAGCACCGAGACGAACACGACGCGGGCGGCGCACGAGCGGCTGGCCAACGACCTGGCCAAGTTCAACAGCCGGCTGCGCGACGAGGTGGGCCGGACCCAGGCGAGCGTGCGGCTGGACCTGAACCTGGAAAAGGGGCGCATCCGGGAGGAGGCGCTGGGCCAGGAGCTCAAGGTCAAGGAGACGGAGACGAAAATCGAGCAAGAGGTGGCGGCCCTGCGGCAGCAGCTGGAGCAGGTCAAGTTCCAGACGCTGCAGTGGCTGATGGGTGTGTGCACGGGCTTCGCGGCCTTGATGTTGGGTGCGTGGCGTTTGTTGATGTAAGGGTGATGGGGCATGGGGGAGGATGCACCATGGGGCGAATTCAACATCAAGACGATCGTCTGACGCGAGACTATACGACAACGGGCATGGCGTTTTGCATTTTTCTACTTTGTTCATTTTCATCAGGTCGCTGTAAGAGACCGCATCGTACATATAATTCAAAACAGCTGCATCGGCCACACAACGAATAACTCATGGATGTGCTGGCAGTGGACAGTACAAGCAAGCGAACCGTTGTATTGGTTTTTCGCTATCAGAAAGTAAGCAGAAGCCTGCTCCTATGTACAAAAAAGGTATGGAAAACGATGTAAAAAAGTGCGTGTTGCTACTATATAGTGGTAGCAGCCGCCTGGTATATATAAACAGAAAGACGGCAAGGAGGCGCAAGGGTGATTCCCAGGTGACTGGGCCCTTGCTTCTCTGCCATTAGAAGAAGATTTTTGGAAAACCGACAAAGGAGAAAAGAAAGAAAAGAAAAGAAGAAGAGGGCAAAGGTCAAGCAAACGTTAACAGGCAGACAAAGACAACCACCCCATGTGCATATCCAAGCGAGAAGAGCGCATCAGCAACACCCCTGAATAGATCTTCGCCTTTTGGTCAGTCTTTTCCCCGACACGGCCACCTCTTGTCTCCCTCTCCTCCTGTTTTGTTCACCCTTTCGGTATCGAAATTATATATTGTTGAGTAAGGAAATGGAAATAACAAGCAAATATTTGTTGTCATGTTTGCGTCATACTGGTAGACGTGAGAAGGATAACACCACCGATCGAATCAACAGCGAATCCATTTTACTCTGCCTTTGGGAGGCTCTCAATGACGGAGCGGGCGGCGTTGTAGATGGCGTGCAGGTCGCGGCTTGCGTTGGCGCAGGCACCGCCGGGGGCGTAGCAGCGGGTGCCGACGTTGCGCTTCCAGCAGGACTGGCCCTTCAGGGGGCAATACTTTTGGGCCTCGGCATCCGCCTCCGCCTCGCGCTTCTGGACGGAACCGCCCTCAATGGCGTTGATGACGGCCTCGGCGGCGCGGCGCGCCTTCCAGCAGGACTGGCCTTTCAGGGGGCAGTACTTTTGGGCCTCGGCGTCGGCCGCGGCTTCGGCCTCGCGCTTGTTCTTCCAGCACGGCTGGCCGGGCAGGGGACAGTATCTTTGTGCGTCGGCGTCGGCGTCGGCCTCCGCCTCCCGCTTGGTCACGGGCTCCTCGACGGGGACGGGGAAGTGGGACTCGAGGGACAGGTCCGAGTAGAAGGACCGGGGGTTGTACTGGGTGGATGCGACGATGGAGGCCAGGCCGTCGATGGCGCGAATGGCGTTGTTGTGCACGCCGCCAAAGGACAGCGAGCGGCGCGATATGCCAGCCTCCGGAGCGCCCAGGTCGGCAATGGCCTCGGCGAACGCCTCAGCTGCGCGCTTGACCTGGTAACACGACTGGCCGACCGACTGGCAGTAGGCCTCGGCCTCCGCAACAGCGGCAGCCGAGGCACCGACGGCGAGGATGGTGAAGACGGCGGCGGTCTTCATGATTTTTGATTTTGATTTTTGATTTTGTGAAAAAAGTAAAATTGTGCAAAGAAAAATATTTGATACAGAAGAAGAAGGACGATCTCTTGGCTGTAGGAGTTGACTTGTCCTGAGAGGATTAGAAGAGAAAAGAAAAACACAAAACAAATGGGATGATACAGAGGTGGGGAGGATCTTTATACTTCAATAGGCCTCGTCGACAAAGGTTTATTGACGGAGGTGAAGGTGGATGTCTATTGAGGCCGAATCGAGGAACGACCAAGGGCCATAACGAAAGAACAAAAAACACCCAAATGAACAGCCGGGGTATGAACAAGGATGCCTGTGGTGGCATGACTCGAGATTATCGCCAAAGCATCCTTTCCCGGCGACTTTCACCTCGGTCTTCTGTACTCTCTCTCTCTCTTTGCCAAGGTAGAGACACTACAGGCTTTCCGTTGGGCCCTTTAGCCGCATCCGATCTTGCTCTATCTCCGTTGCCATCTTTTGTTGTCTGGCGGCCGGTTTCCTGTTTCGACGTTGCCCTGATCACACGACGGTGGACAAGTTGGAGCAGTACACAAAGTTTTTTGTTGCGGCCTCGTCCTGTCGTCTCTATCGTGCCGGCCTTGCGACGGATGCGTTCTTATTGACACCCCAAAAGAGAAAGGACCAAACCCTGCGAGCCCTTGTCCTGCCTCCTGATAAGGAAACAGTCCGCAAGGCTGCAGTGCTGTAGGACATCCGAAAAACGGCGGACGTTGGTCGCCAGGGCCCGGGAGCAACGGAGGGAGACGATGGCAGACCAAGCGAGGGCTGGCATGACGAGGACGACAAAAACAAAGAGGCCAGAGGCGTCGGATGATGAACATTGAAACGGGCGGCTGGCGTTCTGGGCGACGGGGGGGGGGGGGATGCGCAAAGCTGGATATGGCCTTTTGCCGATTCCGTCTGCTCGTCGTGGCCTCCTCTTAATGTCTTTCTTGACAGCGTCTTTTTTTGGCTTGTTCATGCCGCACAGTTCCGTTTGTTCCTGGATGCGTCAAAGGTACGGGAGGGTGTGGTGGCGAGTCGTGCAGGAGGGGGGTTTGGACGTCAGGCAATTTGCCGAGTGAAGCTCTATTGATACCCCAAAGCGGTAATTGGGCGACCCACACGGCGATGCGCACTAACACGGTAGACCACAACGCAGCTCAACCACCTCAATTGACGGCAATTAACCATGTACTCAATTGACGAGAAAGGACGGGAATAACATGTACAACGGCCAGAAAATTGAGAATTAAAAAGAGAAATGACCACTACCAAGTCTCATATCGAATGCGGTGCCAACATTCTGCGCTTGGCGAGACGCTGCTTCAGGACACCGGCCATGGCAACTGCAGGAACGAGTCCTTTTCAGGCCCGGAGACGATGGCGTTGAGACCAAGGGCGGCTGTCAAAGCGCCCATGAGTGGAGGGAGACTCTGAGGCGGCAGGCAGGAACGGGGTTTGGGATAGGCTTGGACGGTCTTGGATATCAATAGACAGACAGAGGAGAGAAGAGTGGCTCCAAGGGACGGACGGTGAAGAAAGATGTATGAAACGCTGTTTGCCTAGCTAAAATGCAAGAGAGACGCAGAAAAGATGCTGACGAGATGCTGAAGAGCCGCTGCAGAACCGCTGCAGCTGTTCGTTTCCGCTTCCACCTGACCAAGTCTATCCTGAACGGCCAGCCTGCGCAATGCTCTCTGATATGCTCCTGTACCATGGTACCACTGTACCGTAAATCGTCCGGTTCCTGTCCCAAAAAGGGCGCTGTCCGCATCTCGCCACCTCACTTTGTGCCTTCCTTTTTCTTTGTTTTCGTCTTCGTCCTCGTCTCCTCTTTCTGTTTCGTCCCCTCCTCCTCCACGACCCCTGCCTCCTCGCCCTCCCTCAGCTTCGTGGCTGCTTGGGCCACCATGGCCTCGACCTGCCGCCACCGCAGTGCCAACAGGCTCCGCTGGCTCTCGGTCCCGACGTTCGCCTTGGCCAGCCGCTCAATCTTGGTCAGCGTCTTGTGGGCCAACTCGGCCATGTCGTCTAGGCATTCCAGGAGAACATTCTCACGCTCGTCTCGTCCTTTGTCTCCCTTGTCCCCGTCGTCCTCATCCTCGTCGCCACCGCCCTCGACAAACTGCAGCCAGGCCGTCCGCTGGGCCGCACCGTTGCCGCACAGCAGCCGCCGCAGGGCCACCTGTGTGCGGTAGCAGCCGCCCGGCGTGGCGGCGTCAATCATGTAGTTGCCCCAGAAGCCGGCGGTCTCCAGGTCGTCGCGCACAACGTCGTGCGGGGACGACGCGAGGCGCGGGACGAGGACCGCGTCGAGGGCGACCTCGTCCCAGCGGTTGTCGGCCAGGACGAAGCCGTACTCGACGAGCAGGGCGTCGTTGGCGTGGGCGCCGTAGCTGATGGGCACTTCGTCGCCCTCGCTGTACGGGCGGTCGGCGACAAACGAGAAGCCCTGGGCGGCGTAGGCGGCACGACAGCCGCGGTCGGCGGCGTGGTTGAACAGGTCGGCCACGGGCTGCATGGCGATGCGGTCGTCGTGGCTGGGCAGGGCCGCCTCGGAGCGCGGGGTGGTGTAGTAAAAGGTACGCGAGTTGACCAGCAGCCACGCGCGGACGTAGTCGCTCTTTGTGAGGGCTTTCCTTTTGTCCTTGTCCTTGTCACTGCTCCTGTCCCTGTCTCTGTCCCTGTCCCGGTCCCGGTCCGTCTCTTGCTTGTTCCCCTCCGCGCCGCCGTCTCCAAACGCCGCCTTGACGGCCGCCCAGTCTGCATTGAGCTTGGTCTGCTGGCGCTGCAGAGCGTTGCGTGCCGGCGTCGGCAGCAGCTCGCGCAGTTTTGTCGGCCATAGCAGCGGCATGCCGGCCTCCAAGTCCTCAGGCGTCGGCAAGACAGCGTCCCAGGCTGCGTAGTCGCCCGACTCGTCGAGCACGAGGTGCGCGGCCAGGATGCCGTGCACCGACACATCGCGGTCCAGGGTGCGCGAGATAGCCTTGGGCACCGTCGCCAGCGTACGCAAGGCGCGTGTGGGCACGACTAGCACGGTCTCGCCCTCGAGGACGTCGCGGACAGCGACCATACCGTAACCACGGCCGGGCAGCCGGCGAGGTGCAATGCCCGTCAGCTGGACGCCCTGCTTGGCGGCATAGTGCAAGAGGTCCTGCAGTGTCTCGTCCTGCATCGTGGAAGGCGGCGGACGGGCGACGTCACGAAGTCCGGCGACAGAACTTTCCAGCAGATGAAGCGAAAGTGCTGAAGAACATAAATTGTTGATTGGTCGAGATGGACCACTACTATTGTATTACAAAGACATGCTGGAAATGTAGAGATTGCTAAAAAAAAAGGACAGTAAATAAAATGCAAAATCAACTGGAGACGACTGCGTAAGACGTGATGCTGTCGCAATGCACCATTACTCGATTGACTCACAAACAGGGCGCTGGCCGAAGAGGGAAGTAAATGGTGTACGCCATGGTCACGGGATCTGGGGTGATTCATGAAGCTATGAAAGAAGCGCTAGTGAGGAGCTAACTTTCTCACCAACCCTTGCGTGAATCTTGATTCTTCCTCCGAGCAACCCACTTTACCTTTTCTTTGCCGTGATTACGACCACACTCCATCCATTTTTCATCAACGCAAGGCTGTTGTCTTGTATCCGATACTCCTCTTATTCTATCGTGTTCTCAACGGGTTACGGCACAGCGCCCAAATTCCTCTTGTTTACCAGTGACACATTTTCCGTGATCATCACTCACAATTCTCATCAAGAGTCATCAAGAGTCCTCGGGCGGTTCCCACAGTTGTCTCGATCATCAAGACTTTCATCCTTGCCAGCAACTGCCTGCCCGACTTCGCGTTTCGAACTGTCTCGCGTTCACCGCGTCGACATATCCCCGTCCTGAATTAAAATCCCCCAGCAGGACAGGCATCACTTATTTCCTCGCATATTATCTCGCAACTCAACTAAAGAGGGCACCATTATTGCAAGATGGACAACCAACGTGCTAATACCTTCCCAACCATACTGCCTGCCAGCGTGCTCACAATAGAAGGCTTCCGTGAGATAAGAATCGCGCGTCTCAAAGAGCAAATCCCCCAAGTTCCCGACGAAGATACGAAAAGGAACTTGGAATTTGTTCTACAGTATTACGAGAATGGCGGCACACCTCCGCCAAACAACGAGACGTGGTTGGTACATGACGGCAAGTTTGTAACACTTGCGAACGGTGATCGGGCGACAATGAGAACGATCGGGTCGACGGCGCACTTCCAGGGCTTCACCATGGAGTCTGTGAGTTCAGTTCCCTTGATACGAAGGCCAAATATGGCAAGACAGCGAGTGCTTACATGGAATAATAGGGCGTGTACCGCCAGGGCCTCCAGACGACTTTGCTTCCTGCCAATGGTGCCGGCCCTTAGTATGGGCCAGCCGAACCGCAGCAGATGGCTCAAACAGCCACATTTGGCATTTGTCCTGGGTCATGCATGCACCAAGTAAGTTCCCGAGGCACCACGCCCTAACGAGAGAAGGGACGGCCAGTTCTGACATGCAAACAAAGATGGTAGCCTCTGTGCAACGTGTTGCCAATGCCAACGCGCGTTTTGATGCTGTTTTAACCATTGTACTGTCGAACGACACCGGATCTACCTTACAGACCCTTACGCCCATGGACGTGGCAGCGCTTGGAGTCGACCCTGACTCGCTCGCGAACGAGGTCTTTGTCACGACAGCCGCAGGCATTGTGCCACTCAAGACCATGTCGATCACGATGCAGATGCTGCGACCGAACCTTCCTTGGAATCCAATGACACGTTGGTTCTCAGAAGTAGCTGTGATTAACCCCCAAGCAACGGAACGGCTGTCAGGTCTGGAGATGCGCAACCACCTCTACTTTGCAACCGCACCAGGAAACCGAATGTTATACGTATCGTCGACGAAAACAGCTTTGAGAGACATATTGCCTGCAGGTTCTGGGTAGCGCAACCCTACTTAATCGCTCCCGTGGGCCAGTTTACGTCGATGCCTGATTTTTGATAAAATACGGCGACGGGGGCGTACAAATCAGTTTGGCAGGGCAGGACGAAAGGGAATTTTCTAGCTGCCATGTGTAGACTGCCCTAGTACCTTTTTAGTATGTATGTGAAGGAGACAGGTGGAAAATACAAAACAAAAAACGAAGATGGAAAGCAGAAGGGAGCTCTTCTACCTCCGACGACCGTTTTATTACTGGGTTGTCAAAGTCTAATTTGTAGACCCTTAAAACATTCTTCTATTTTCCACTGGTTAGTTCAGTCATTTCGCCGTGACCAACAACCAGAAGCCGTTCTTTCCTTGTTTGTGCGCCACGCGCGCTCGCAATTACACAGTCTTTCCAATTGTGGTTTGTGTCGCCCATGGCCGTACATCGAACATCTACGCCGTACTTTCCTTTGCATGGAGCACTCCTTTTCTATCCTCACTTCTCTCCAATCGTCACGACGAACGCAAACATGCCCTCCTACGCACGCTCTCTTTCTCTCTCTCTTCTCTCTTCGCATGTTGCACGTACTGTGTCGCAGTCGCCCTCTGCTCGTCTCTTTTCTTGACCGACGGCGAAAACGAAGCGATCGACGATGCACGGCGCGATGCATCCACAACGGCCAGACGCACGTGAAGAGAAAAGGCTCTGCGTGTCGTTCAATGGAGGGAGACTGTGACTGGGCAGACCGGCACAAGATGCAGATGACAAGCTTTTATGCATGCACCCGCCGTCGATGGACACCCCTGCCTCTCTAAAGGCGTGGCTGCCCGCCTCGGCGCATCGCCCCCCAATTCGGTTGCCAGATCCGCGATCCACGCAGGATTGCGACCAGGGCTGCAGGGGTCCTGGCAAGCCGTCTCTTTTTTGTCCGGAGTCAGTTGAAGGTACAGATGACCCCGCCATTCGTGGCATTTTGTGTCCACTGTGTCAGCTTTTGCGAGCTTGCGGCCTTTTGGGTCAGTTGACTCGACATTGACTTTGATCTCTGAGTCTTTTGTCCATGGTCGTGGAAAGACAGCCCCATGTCATACACTGCTGTCAACGATGCCGACCGCCGGACGCTTGCTGCACATGGACGGCAAGAGCACAAGGGAAATGTGACCAGGAAATGGGAAATGCCAGTGGCTCGCAGCACAGACTTGACGTGAACGACCAAGATACAAACAGTCGATACATGCAGCAACAGACGGGCGCCTGCAACGATGTGGACGGGGTTGGTGTGGTGGCACATCGGCCAAATAGCCAAGTATTGGCCAGGATGGTTAGGATGGCCAGAATCGCCAGGCACGGGCACGAGGGGATTCGTCGACAGCGTCTCGAAAGTGACGAACAGGAAGGTGTCAAAGCTAGGGGTGTCCATACTCGCAATGTGACCCGACCGGCATTCCACAAGATGCAACCTCGTTGTCTTATTCGTTCTGTACGGGACATCGTCCTTCTGTTGCCTTTTCTGGCTCTAGCTCCTGTTCGGTTGCTGCACGTCTTTACACCTCCGCTTTCTATGATTTACATTCTTTTTGCTTTTTTTCTTTTCTTTTTTTTTCCTTTCTTTTTTCTTTCTCTTTCCAGCTCGACCTCCGTGTCCACGAGCTTTCTCTCTCTTTTTCTTCGTTTCTTTACAAACACGTTTTTGTTTTCCTGCAAGCAAGTGCATCACCGCGGGCCCTTGTCCTTTGACGGTGCCCCGACACCGATTCTGTCAAGGAGCGCCTCTCTGCCTTTCCCCCTTTTCACAGGAAGGTAAACCGGTCTAAACATACGGCCGGAACGAAAGTATAAATACACACGGGAAGGCCCGTCTCTGGTCATTTGTATTTCCATTTTCTCTGTTCAGGATCGACAGAGACCCTCAAGCCTCCAAACACCTCCAGCCCTATATCATCACTTACACCCTTTGTCTCCCTTCTCTCCACCACTACATCATGCCCTCCATCCGCCAGCTGGCCGGCATTCTCGCCGCTGCCGCCGTCTCCAGCGCTGCTCCGGCCCCTGCCCTCTCTTCCTCCGCCGGCAACAACAACAACAAACGCCAGACCACTCCGCTCCCCGACTACGCCCTCACCTATGCTCCCATCTCCTACCTCTACAGCGGCGAGAGCTGGTGGCCGTCGGATGTCGCAACCCACCTTGCCAATGTGATTCCCGAGGTCGACTTCGTCGCCGTCTCCGGCTACACGTCCGCCGGCTCTGTCACGCTCGCCACCCTCAACGACCAGAGCAGCAGCGTCTTCCTCACCTCCAAGGACAATGTCGACACCAGCCCGGCCTGGCTGGTCTCGGCCTACGGCAAGCCCACAACCACCACCGGCGGCTACAGCGCGGCGCCCGGCACGATCATTGCCGTGCAGAAGAACGCCACCTGGGTCGACGTCTTTTACTTTTACTTTTACTCGTACAACTATGGCGGAAAGTACGTTTGTGCTGCCCTCGCTGCGTTGTCTGTTGGCGCACTTACTTACTCTTCATAGGGTCATTGGCATCAACTTTGACGACCACGTCGGCGACTGGGAACATACCATGGTCGGTTTCTCTCCTCTCGTCCTCATCCTCCCTGTTTTGCTGCAGCTCCCGGCTAACATGTTGCCACCGTAGATCCGCTTCGTCGACGGCGCTCCTACCGCCATGTACTTTTCCCAGCACGGCTCCGGCTCCGCCTACACCTGGGCCGCTCTCTCCAAGGGCACCGGCACCAACGCCGGCCGCCCGCTCACCTACATTGGCACCGGCGGCCACGCAAACTACGCCAAGCCTGGCAAGGAAGACTACACCGTCGCGCTCGGCATTGTGAGCGACACCACCGACGCCGGCTTTGCATGGGACCTGGCCCAGAACTACCGCGGCTACTGGTTCGACACCGCCTCCTCCACCTTCTCGGAAGCAGGCGGCGTCAATGTCGGCGGCAGCGAAGAGGGCAGCACGTCGCCCGCCGAGGGGGCGACGTGGCTGCAGTGGGGCGGCGCCTGGGGCGACGAGCAGTACGCGTCGAGCCGGTCGGGCCAGTACTGCATCTTTGGCGAGTGCCACTACACGTCGGGCCCGACGGGCCCTGTGGCCAAGAACCTGGGCCGCACGGCCATGTGCCAGACCGAGTCCGGCTGCACGGTGTTTACCAGCGTCGACGACCTGACGCACCAGTCGAAGCGGACACACGAGTCGAAGTGAGAGGAAGAGGCGGGTGAGTGGATGCTAAAGATATAATGGACGTGCTGGTAACTCGTGCTTGGATATAATGACGTATGACAGATGAATCGATGTATATAGCAGAGACTTTGCTGATCTCAATGCGTGAACAAATCAAACACGTTTCCTAAACTAGGTTGTAACAATATACGTGGTATATGACAAACTGGATGGAGCAAGCCATATTGGTGCACCGCGACATGTGCCGTGGCCAAAGAATAAGAAAAGAGAGAGAGAGACAAAAAATGAAAATAAAAAGATAAAATAAATATTACGCGAACTAAGCAGCAGATAAACAATTTCGAATTCTGAGCTCGACGGTGAGAGCGTCGGATGTTGACCATTGCATATTGGATAAGATTGGTTGGTTGTGATGAAGCCGAAGGAGTGAGAGGAGGGAGCAGATTCACAGAGCGTGGATTTTCCGCAACAGAATTGGTTGCTATTGATTGCTTTTACCTCTGTGGAGTGCATCGTCATGGTACACAGTATCACTTCACCACGTCATGCCGTCATTTTGTGTGAATTTCATTTTATTGGCCTAAATCATAGATGGCATAGCATCATCTTCACCTCCCAGAACGCCAGAACCCGCCATGCTATAAAAGACGATGCACCGAAACGCTACAATACACCTCAAAACAAACAATAAAATAGCAAGAGACAGGAGAACAACGGACCCCCCCTCCCCTCCCCTCTCCATTCCCCCCTCACGCAACATACCGGTACGCCGCCGGCTCCGAGTCCTCGATGCGCTCCAGGTACTCGCGCGAAATCAGGTCCTCGATGCGCTTCTTGACCATGGCCACCTCGGGCCGGAACCGGCTCGCCAGCTGCGTGACCACCTCGGTGACGAGCGCCGTGTGCATCAGTTCCTTGCGCTGCTTCATGATGCGCACGACGGCGGCGTCAATGGTGTGCGAGCGCGTCTGGTTGTTCTTGTCTTCGGTGGCCTTGCGCTCGTCCTCGCCCTCGACCTTGGACAGCGCGTTGATGACGGGCACCTTGATCTTGAGGGACTTGCTGGTGAACTGGGCGTTGAACGCAAACGTGTCGGTGGGCTTGATCGTCTTGGTCAAGGGGCTCTTGAGGAGCACGCGGCACTTGGGCGGGATGCACAGCGAAGCGAGGGCGCGCGTGAGGTCGGCGGCGGGGATGTTGGTGCGGCCCTGGATTTCGTCAAACGACAGCGCCGGCGTCGAGCCGTCGTCGCGGGCCGGCAGCTCGTTGAAGAGCAGCAGGACAATCATGCCGTGCGTCGGCGCATTGATCTCGTAGCGGCGCTCGCGGCTCAGCGGGCCCTTGTCGTGGCCGGGGATGCGCGGGAAGACGCAGCGGATGTCGGCGCTGCCGGCCGACCCGACCCACGAGAGCACGCGGCCGCTGCGGTTGCGCAGGTAGAATTTGAGGAAGCTGGCCTGCAGGCGGCGGATCTCGGGCGGGTAGGTGCAGCCGGCCGGCGCGCTCGACAGGCCCGCCTCCAGCTGCGACGAGCGGCCCATGACCTCGGGGGGCCAGTTGTTGCTGGTCAGCACGTTGACGCCGAGGTCGATGCGCGCTGTGTCGGCGCCCACGCCGTCGTCCGCGCCATCCGCGTCATCCCCGTCCGCATCGTCGGCCGTAGAGGATTCGGCCGTCTCGGTCGACCCCAGATTCTGCACGTAGCTCGCATAGTCGCGCGTCAGCTCCTCGGACGTCGCCATGTCCTTGAACATGCCCTCAAACTTGCTGGTAAAGGCCTTGCCGAGCTCCGACTGCATGCGCGAGATCATGAGCTTTTCGGCCTCGGGGTTCTCGCTCTTGTTGTGCAGCAGCCGCCGCGCCAGGTGCTTCTGGTAGTAGCGCTCCAGCATGTCCTTTTCCGTCACGTGCTGCACCATGACCGTCGCCTTGTCGAGGGCCGCGTCGACCTCGGCGTCGCTCTTGCCGCGCAGGCCGCGCTTGAAGTTGTCGTCGATGAACAGCGAGACGTACTCGGCGCTGCGCGTGCACAGCCGGAACAGCTCGGTGAAGCTGCTGGCAATGGCCGACTGGATGGCCAGGTCCTGCTGGAAGCAGTCCCGCCACAGCCGGTCGAACTTGTCCTTGAGGTCCAGGATGTCGTTGACCCACTTGATGGCGGCCGCCGTCTGCTGCGCCGACGCCGACAGCGGCGCCTCGCCGGCCACCGAAAAGTCCGTCTCGCGCAGCGTCTTCTCGACGTCGACGCCCATCTCAATGATGCGCACCTGCAGCGCGTTCCGCAACACGACCTGCTTGCTCTCGACGCGGCCCACCAAGTCGTAGAGGATGGCGAGGTCGTCGGTGCGCTCGTCGTCGACCATGGCCTTGAGGCCCGTGCCGTCCATGGCCAGAAACTCCTCGAGGTGCGCGGCAATCAACTCCGCCTCGAGCACGCGCGCCGTCTTCTGCAAGGTCTCCTGCGACACCGTGTGGCCGCAGCGGTCGTGCTCTTCGCGCAGCCGCTGCCGCGTCTGCCGCAGCCAGACCCGCGTGTCGCCGTCCCGCAGCAGCCGCTCGCACTCGGCCTTGTAAAAGTCGGTCGTCGCCTGCAGGAACTGCGGCTCGAACAAAGTCAAGTAGAGTTTCTCGTCCTCCTGCTCCTCGTCCGTCTCGTACAGCGCCTCAAGCATCGCCACGCAGCTTCGCAGGAGCGGCCGGTCGACAATCTCGCCGTCGCGGTCCATGTTGATCTGGTCGAGCACGACGGCCGCGAGGGTCGTGTAGATGGTGGGGTGGTGGTAGGAGGCGCTGCCGCTGGTTCCGCTGGTTGCGCTGGTGCCGCCGGATCCGTTGATGCCGCTGGCGGGAGCTTGGCCCTCCGCACAGCTGCCCGCAAACTGGTCGGACTGGCGGTTCCATATGGATGGTGGGAGCGGTGCTTTCAGGATGTGGTCGCGGTAGAGGCCAATCGTCGTCGCGTAGATAAAGGGCCGGTTCGAGTCCTGCGCGTCGCGGTCCAGATACATCAGCACGTCCGCCACCATGTTCATCGACATGTTGTGCCGCTCCCAGGTCTCCTTGAGCCCGCGCAGCAACCGCTCGCCCATCCCGCGTCGACTGTGTGCCGTTGTGCTGGCGGCATTGTGCAGACTGACGGCCACCAGCCCCTGCGTCACCAGCGGCCAGATCAGCGAGATGACCTTGTCGGCAAAGTACCGCTCCTCGAACCCCCTGACCCGGTTGTAGAGCTCCTCGCCGCGCTTTTTGAGGACACTCTTGTACGAGGCGCGGTACAGCTGCTCAAAGGACAGCTTGCCGGCGTTTTGGTTGTGGATGTCGTCGAGGGCGTCGCGGATGAGGCCCCAGTTCTCTTCGAAATCGTCCACGCCGCCCACGGCGCGTGCGACACCACCGACCTGGACAAAAAGCTGGGTTAGTATGTTCTTACAGAACGAAAAAGTACAGAAACGAAAAAAAAAAAAAAACATATCAAAAAATAGAGGCCATTTCACCATAGACATACTCGTCGGGGTGCGCGGATCTTGCCCTTATACATGGTGGGCGGCCGTCGTGTAAACGTGAGGAGACAGAAGCGTGAGTGTAACGTCTGAGATTATGGTTTTGGTATATAGGTAAAAGGTAGAAAATAAGTGTAAAACGGATGAAACCACAGCTTTGGCGTGGCTCGCTGTCGATAGGTTGGGACAAGTTGTGACGGTAGCTAGGACAGAGATGCCGGCGTTTGAATACGTAAAGAGATATCGGCGAACAGGCTGAAGCAATCCATTCAGGTAATTGTCAGGTACGACAGAGCGAAAAGAGGTAAGAGAGGCTAAGACGAGAGGCAACAAGAGAATCGAGGAGAAGAGGACGTCGGTTTATACACAGGAAGTGCCTGCGAAGTAGCGGCAGAGGTGGGCGACGTGGAAGAGTGCACTGTTATGGCTGGAAGGTGCTCGGCGCAACACTGTCGGACAGTACTCGGGGACGTTTTCGTGGGGCTATGACGCAGCGCGTTCAGAAGTCGACGATGAGACGATGTTGGGTGAAGTTAGAAAGTCTCCTTGGCCCGTGATAATTTGAAAATGACAAGCCGGGCAAGAACCCCGCGGCTGTGCCTGCCCTGTCGACCCTGTCCACTGACCCTGGAGCTCCGTCCAATTACAGGCTTGGCCTGCCCAACGCCGGCTGTTTAGTGGCGGGCTTGGGGTCCACAACAGCGGGAGGCGGAGAACTTATCGATAAGGCCGAGAGAACGTCGCAGAAGCCGCTGGCAGAAAATCATAAAAACAAAAGTTCAAATTAACGTCAAGACAGCACTGGCTGACACCGTTTCTCTTCTCGTCTCACGCGCGACGCCTACCACTGCCAAACGATAACAAAGCAACCCTGATCAGCCTCCTATACCAGCGTCTCGTCATGGCATCTCGAACTGCCTGGTCGCGCCTTGCGATGCAGCCTCTCTCGAATCTTGCGCAGCGCGGCACAGCGCCCGCCGCTGCCTCGTTCTCGTCCTTGTCCTCTTCTGCTCTCCGTCGCCTCGCCCGACGTCCATCGCCCGCACCAGTTCCATTAGCATCGTCTCCAGCTGGCACATTCGTCCGCCTCGCCCACAACATTCCGCGGCCCAAGGCGGCAGCACCTGCCGATCCCTTGTCCGAGGCGTCCACTCCGTCCTCGCCAGCACCACAGCGCGGCAGCGTCGCCGGCTCGGGAAAGAACCCCAACAAGATTGGCCTCGCGCCGCACTACGAACTCACGTTCACCTGCCTGCCCTGCGGCACCCGCTCGGCTCACCATGTCTCCAAGCAGGGGTACCACCACGGCTCTGTGCTCATCACCTGCCCCTCGTGCCGCAACCGGCACATCATCAGTGACCACCTGGGCATCTTTGGCAATGTGACCAAGGAGGGCGGCAGCGGCGGTGGACGCACGATTGAGGACATTCTGCGCGAAAAGGGCCAGCTCGTGAAAAAGGGCACGCTGGGCGAGGACGGCGACGTGGAGTTTTGGGAGGACGGCACGACGAGCGAGCGGCAGACGCGGCTGGCGGCGGAGGATGTCATGCTGCCGCAGTCAAACGAGAAAAAGGACAAGGACAAGCGGGCCAACAAGGAGGCGGCGCCCGGGTCGACCTTTACGAGCGCCGGCAAGGCGTGAGGCGAGATGGGGAAAAGACGAGGAACGAGAATTCGTTGGAAAGAGCCGCTGAGCATGTTATGAATATCACATGGCGTTTGGACTTGGGATCATACTGTGGGACGGGATTGAAAGGCGTTTGGATCTCTTTTTTATTTGCACTTTTGCTGCTGGAGCAGTTTCTCACATCTCTCTTCTCCTTTTGTCTTTAGAGTTGGCATGGAACGAAAGGCATCTCTCTTTCATAGACACAAAAGTGCACTGCATTGTAACAATGTGCTTTATTGTAATTGCGAATGGCTACAAATCTCTCCCAGTGAATTGCGTATCCTGCCTGTTCCACCATCGTGCCTACCATGCAATGTCCCACCCGTCGTACTCCGTGATAAATCATTGTTAGTCCTCATCATAATGTCTCACGGGCCCCCACGCCACCTTCCCCACCTACTTCTTCCCCAAATCCTCCTTGAGGGCCACAATCCGGTTCAGCACAATCTTCTCGTCCGTCGAGTCCGAGTCCTCGGCAAAGTACGCCACCCGGATGCCCTGGAACCGCACGCTCTCGGGCCCGCCCTTGCCCAGCTCGCTCTCGCCGGCCGCCTCGGGCCACGGCGCCCGCCGCCGCACCTCGTCGAAGCCCGACTCAATGAGCGCGTCCGGGTAGACGATCTCGCTGTCCGGGTTGATGTCGGCCAGGTAGCCGCCCTCGGCGTCGTTGGGGTTGTCGGACTTGAAGAGCGGGTTGTAGACGCGGACCTCAGCGCGGCGCGAGCCCTTGTCGACGGGGGGCACCCACTGGATGTACGTCTTCTGCTTCTTCGTCCCCGCCGACCGGTCGAGCACAGCGCGGATCTCGGTGACGCGGCCCGTCGTCTCGTCTTTGGTGTACGACGTCGCGCGGATGGGGTGGGGCACCTGGAGCAGGCCGACGGACTTGCCGGGCGCCAGCCGGAAGAAGGAGGGGTCGGCATCTTCGCGGAAGTCGGTGCGGTCAATGTAGATGGTGCGCGAGAAGGTGACGTCGTGGACGCCGACCTTGGGGTCTTTGGGGTTGAAGGGGATCGACAGGGCCTTGCCGTCGAGACCGCCGAGGTCGGCCGCGTCCGCATTCGCGTCCGCCTCGTCGCCGCCCTCGCCGTCCTCGACGCCCTCAATGACCACGGGCACAGGATCCAGCACCAGCATCAGCCGCGGCACGGTGCGCTCCAGGTACTTGCGCACGGCCTGCTCGAAGCGCTTAATGTCAATCACCGAGTTGGTGGTGGTGACGCCGAGCTCGTTGACAAACTCGAGGATGGCGCCGGGCGGCACGCCGCGCCGCTTGATGCCAATCAGCGTGTACAGCCGCGGGTCGTTCCAGCCACGCACGATGCCCGACTCCACCAGCTTCAAGATCTTGCGCTTCGAGAGCACGGTGCCGGTCATGGACAGGCGGCCGTACTCGCGCTGCATGGGCTCGTAGACGCCCAGCGTGTGGTTGAGCCACTCGTAGCTGACGCGGCTCAGCACAAACTCGGTCGTGCACAGCGAGTGCGTGATGCCCTCGTACGAGTCGCAGAGGCAGTGCGTAAAGTCGTACGTCGGGTAAATCTTCCACTTGGTGCCCGTCCGGAAGTGCGGCGTCGCCAGCACGCGGTACGCCGCCAGGTCCCACATTTGCGGGTTGCCGTCCGCAATGTCCTGCTTCATCCGCAAAAACGCCTCCTGGGGCTTGTACTTGCCGTCGCGCATCGCCCGGAACTCCGTCAGGTTGTACTCGACCGTCTGCTCCGCGTGCTTGCACCGGTACCGCGGCCGGCCCTCGCCGCCGCCGCGCTGGTCCTTGATCTCCGCGTCCGTGCACTGGCACACGTATGCCCGCCCGCATTCAATCAGCTGCTCGGCGTGTGCGTACAGCCGGTCAAAGTTGTCCGACGAGTACGTAATCGTGCGCGGCTGGAAGCCCAGCCACGTAATCATGTCCAGGATCGCGTCAAAGTACACCTGCTCCTCCGACTCCGGGTTCGTGTCGTCGTACCGCAGGTTGCACGACCCGCCGTGGTACTTGGCGAAGCCAAAGTTGACGGCGATTGCCTTGGCGTGTCCAATGTGCAGGAAGCCGTTGGGCTCCGGCGGGAACCGCGTGCGCACGGGCTTCATCGGCCGGATCTTGAACACTTCCTCCAGGAAGCCAACCTTGAACATTTGCTGCGGGTCGATGCTCGGCTCGTCGGCCTTGGGCGCCGCCGCCGGCTTGGGCTGGGTCGCGACAGGATTGCTGGCGGCGGCTGCCGCCTTGGCCTCCTTCGCTTTGGCGGTCGCGGCCGCCTTCTCGCGCTTCTTCAGGCGCTTCTTGAGCTCGCCCTTGGACACCATCTCACCCGTCTCCTCGTCGAGCTGGAGCTTGGCCGTGCTTTCCACGAGGTCGGCCATGGTGGCGGTGGTAGGTGTTGGTCGGTGTAGGTCGTATGCTATGAGGGTTCTAGCTCATAGGAGGATTGCCGCGTTCTCAATGGCGAGATACCGTGCTCGGTCGGTGGTGTTTCTATTGAAGGTTTTAAGTCGGATAAGTTGAGTCACAACTCAGCTGAAGAGAGAATGGACAGAAGGTCGCGTTGGTCGTCTTATAATCGTCTGTCGTCCTTATCGGTCTGCTGGTCGTCCTCTGTCGTGAATGGACTGTTGACCGATGTGTCTATCAATGCCGTGGTGGTCGAGTGACTCAATGCTTCCCGTGTTTGCTCTCTCAGGCTCGCCTTTTCCCCTCCTGAAACACTAAAATGCCTGAAGCTTTTTGGTGCGATAAGAGATAAGACATACGAACCGCTGGACTTCGCCCCGCACCTTCCTTTTCTCGGCCAAAGACACTCGAACGTAGCACGCCGAAAATGGAGTAGCGGGCCAATTTTTGTGGCAGGTGCGACCGTGTAAGTGTGCAGAGTGCACGAGAAGCTGCATCGCCCCTTTTTCCTTGCCTCAATGACAGCTCATAAGCACAATGTCTACAACAGCCGTTTCATGCCGCTCCGATCACGGCAGCCGATGGAAAGCGGACAGTTACGGAGAATGACAGCCATCGATGACCTTGACGGAATACACGAGTGTCTGCGCGTGTTGGCTTCCGCTGGACGGCACGTGCGATGTACTGACTACAAAACAAAAGTCTACGAATAGCGACGACGAGCCAACGTGGCAATAAACATTCAAACACTTTATTCATTCGTGTCTATCATACTGTCATGGCCCTCCCTTAGATGGAAAAGTCCTTGATGGCCTTGGTCAGGCCGAGCTCCTTCTTCTCGGACGCGTCGAGCAGGCCCAGCGCCTCGCGGCGCGTCGGCGCGTCGGCCTTGAAGAAGGGCTTCTCGGCCAGCGAGGTCACGCGCGTGCCGTGGCGCGGGTGGCGGCCGCCGTAGTCCCAGCTCGCGTTGTGGATCGTGATGCGGTTGTCCCAGAGCGCGCTCGTGTTGGGCGTCCACTTGAAGCGCACCTGGATGTCGACGTTCTGCTCGTAGACGTCGTACAGATAGTTGAGGATGACGTCGCTCTCGGCTTTGTCGAGCCCGACAATGCGCTCCGTCATGACGCGGTTGACCCACAGCGCCTTCCAGCCCGTCGCCGGGTGCACGCGCACGAGCGGGTGCGTGCGCTCAATGTACTGCGGGCCGGCCTCGGGCTTGTTGCGGTCGAGGTACTGGTGCGCCGAGCGGTAGACGGCGAGGCGCCCGTCGATGATCTTGCGGAACTCGGGGCTCAGCTTCTCGTACGCGGCGTAGCCGCTGGCCCACAGCGTGTCGCCGCCAATCGGCGGCACCGTGTCGTTGTGCAGATGCGTGATGCCCGCGGGCTGGTGCTCGTGCACCAGGTCCGTGTGCCAGCGCGACGCGCCGCCCGGGTGGCGGAAGTCGGCCGAGCGCTCCGTCGCCTGCAAGTCGGGCCAGATGACGGTGACGCCCTCGACGCCGGGCACCTGCGGCACCTGCGGGTGCACCTCGACCAGGCCGTAGTGCTCGCCGAGGCTGCGCTGCTGCTGCGGCGTCAGGTCCTGGTTGCGGAAGAAGACGACGCTGCGCTCGGCGATGAGCAGCGCCAGCTCGTCCCGCTGCTGGTCCGTCAGGTCCTTCAGCTGCAGGCCCTCAATCTCGGTGCCAATGTGCGTCGTCAGGTCCGTGACCTTGGTGGCCGCCGACAGCAGCGCGCTCTTGCTCTTGTCGGCGCGGGCGCCCGCGTCCTCATACGGCCGGTCCTCGCTGCGGATCTTGTACACGTCGTCCAGGTAGAGAGGGCGGGAGGGGCGGTAGGGGTAGCCGTTGGAGAGGTCGATGCCGGCCTTGGTGAGGCGTTCGGCGGCGGTCTTGGGCAGGCCGAGCGTGTCCTTGCGGGGCTCGGCGACGTCGACAATCGACGGGTCGATGGGAGCAGGAGCCATTGTGTATAAGTGTGTGGAGGTTGTGTTGGGGAACGGTTGTCACAGGGACACAAGACGGGATGCCTATTTGGGTGTCTCTTACGTTGACGAGTTGCAGGTGAGTTGGGTGTATAGAGCAATACGAACGACTACAGGACCAGGCGCAATACCTGCTTTTTATAACGGGGAAGCATCAACGGCAAGTCACTCTCGCATTCATGATCTCATAAGCACAGTCGAGTTGTCCACCCTTCACAATCCAGACTTCGACGCCATATGCCAGCCGAAGACGACACAGCACTACCCCTCACACTTGGGAGCGACGGCCTACCCTATCCAGAGGCCACTATCGGTTGTGTCGTCGTTTCGTCGACTGTGATTTGTTTGGGTTGAATACGTTAGCTCCAAAGGCGTCACGGAAGGAAGGCTCGGCTACATCGCGTGAGCATTGTGTGCATTTGGCGTGCGCGGAGGACAAATCAAGGATGTCGCAAGGCAGGAGTTGCAGAGACAGGGCGAGCAAAAGGTCCGAAGGCCGTTGAAAAAGGGCATCCCATGAGGCAAGAAGAGACCAAATCCTATGGTAAATAGGCATCGACAACCCCTCTTTCGTGGCTCTGCTTATAAACCAGGCCGGGCAGGTTGGGGAGGCGGAACGTCTTAAATGCAAGGAGGATCAGAGAAAGGGTGACAAAAGAGTGCGGAGTACGGAGTCCGGAGTCGAAGGCAGGCTTCTCGGACTCTGCACGCCAGTCAGATTTGTTGGAGAATGTAGGCGATCGTCGTTGGTGGTATGAACAAATTCAAGGGCCAGATGACGACAGTTGCGTGCAGCAGACACTTGTGAGAGGAGAAAAGAAGAGGATAGGGACTAAAGCTAGCTGGAGATAGAATGACAGCTCAGACAGCTTGTCGGCTCCAATTTGTTATAGGATATAAGACGATGGCGTTTTGGAGAAGGATGGTGGGGATGTACAGAAGTAGAAATAACAAAATAGCCACAACAGCGGACTGAGAGGTGTTTGATTTTCTATTCCTTTTCTTTTCGTTTTTTTTTCATTTTATTTTGTGCCTTGCCCTTCTTCAGATATTCTTGTTTTTCTTTTTCTATTTTTCTCTTATTTTTTGGTCGCTTTCTTTTTATTTATTTTGTTTTATTGCCCCCCACATCTTTTACTCTCTATTCTCAATTACTGACGTTTGATACAATTGCCTTTTGCATCCATTTTCGTCCCCATTCCTAGCTCCAACTCCTCACTAACACCATCAGCACGGGAGTGGCGCAATGCGTGGGTGGTCGATTGTGTGATCTGGCCTTGGCCTCTGCAAATCTCCAACTGGCGCGGCGATTGGACAGGGGGCTGGGAGATACGACTGCGCTTTCAGGGTGACCTTTGTGAAAGTGGAAGAGAGACGGCAAGCAAGGCAGGGCAGAAGAAAATAGTTAAACTAAAAAAAAGAAGAAGAAGAAGAAGAAGAAATGACAGCCGTCTCGACGGTTGTATACGGCCGATACATTTGAATTTGAATGCCGCTCGTCTTCCCCTTTGTCTAGACCCTGTACAGGAAAGCGCCCTTGAGCTTGTTTCAGCTCCATGTCTCCTCTAGACGACCCTCAACGTCTTTTTTAACGTCTTCCCCTGCGAATGTCCTGATTCAGTCTTCTCCCGAGCATAGTCGTATTGCTGATACTGGTAAATTGTTTCCTCTACAGTATGCTCTGTTGCCCCCACGTCGTTGCCGGCTGTCGTTCTTGTCTTGGCTAGATTCGATCTTGTTTTTCGTAAATCGTTCCATTGACAGATTTGAAGCTCTTGAGACGCTCAGTCTCAGTCTGGTTCGTATTCATTATAGATTCGCAGACAGCACAAGCAGTAGGATGCGGTTCGTTGTTGTCCATCTAAAATATATCTTCAGTATCGTCATGTCGCCGTGCTGCCTTGTGCCGCCCGATAGTTTGCCAAGTGCAAAAACGTCCCGAGAGGATCCCACCGAATGGAGGGCGACTACGACGCATCCTGTTCCATCGGACCATTTTATCTCCACGGCCTGGCCGGGGTTGTCCATTTTCGTTTCCATTGTCGTAGACAATAACGATGGCTTCAGTGGGCAGAGAGATCTCATCATCACGGACGTCGTCGTCCTCATCGGCTTTTGTCCAACCAGAGTCGAGAGACAGCGATGATGGAGCCGGAGGAAAAGCAAGACTGTGAACGTTGTGGCTCCGTTGCAACGATAAACGTACCCATGCCGACCTCGAACTGCTCGGGGAAGGCTCGCGGAAACAAGAAGAGGCGACCTTTGGCAAAGCACGCAACCTTTTGACATACAAAGTACATGAGGTTGGGTCAGGAAGAGGCGATGATCGGCGGGCGTGTAACCAAAACGCGTATACTGTGGGTTCACCAAATGGATGCATGGCACGGAGACATAATTTCGGAGACCTGGAGTTTACGAGGAAAGGAGAAAGAAAAACCGAATGCCTTGCATACGTTTATAGCTGTAAAGTCGAGCTGTGGATGGCCGTGGCTGCAGTGATTATGGACGGATTTGGGTCTGGATTAGCTGGGTCGATTGACTTTCACGGTACAAGGTCTGGCAGGCGAGTAGACGAGAATCTTGGTTTCTATCTTCGCCACACAAACAGTCTGCAATGTCCTGGAAATGTGCAAAGTATGACAAGATTAGGGAGTACTAGCAGATTCCTGACAGCTTCCTGTCCGATGGATGTCTGATGTCCAGCGAGAGCAGCGTGAAGAGTGCTTCTGCATCATATCATCCGTGCTCCCCATGCAGGCCATGCACCCGTCGACAGATCGTCACCGCCCTGCCGCATATATAAGATTCCGCGTGTGCCGCGTGCACTCTTGCAGGTCTCTTCCTACCCAGTGATTTGGTGCTTCTTTACCTTCACTTTCTTTCCTTTTATTGCACTTTCTTGTAGCAAAACATCACCTCACCTCCCCCCACGCACGCTCACTCTATGGCCAACGACGAAAAGACGGCCGTCGACCAGAGCACGCCAGCGTCGCCGACTGCCGACGACAGCACCGTACCTAATGCCGACCACGCGGGCGATCTGCACTCTGCGTCGCCCTCCGACGACGATGTCGACAAGGACGGCCTGACGGCGGCCAACCGTGCCGTGGCCGAGCGGCTTGTGGCCCAGACGCCCAAGCAGACGTGGCGGTCCAACTTCTGGGACACGCTCGACAAGAGCCCCGAGGAGCGCAAGTTCCTGTTTAAGCTGGACGCGGTCGTGCTGACGTTTGCGTCTCTCGGCTACTTTCTCAAGTACCTCGACCAGGTCAACGTCAACAACGCCTTTGTGTCGGGCATGCGCGAGGACCTGGGCCTCTTTGGCAACCAGCTCAACTACATGACCACCTGCTGGACCGTCGGCTATGTCATTGGCGAAGTTCCCAGGTAGGTCGTTTGGGATTGCGGTCCGATTGCGGTCCCTCGTCCTCTTCCTCTCCCCCCACCTGTCCCTGTTCTCCGCTCTAACGCAGACAGCAACCTCATTCTCACGCGCGTCCGGCCGTCCATCTGGATCCCGGCGTGCGAGGTCTTGTGGTCGGTCCTGACCATACTGACTAGCAAGTGCAACAACGTCACGCAGCTGTACGTCCTGCGCTTCTTCATCGGCCTCGCCGAGAGCACCTTCTACCCCGGCATGCAGTACGTCATCGGCTCCTGGTACCGCCGCGAGGAGCTCGCCAAGCGGTCCTGCATCTTCCACGCCGCCGGCGCCATCGGCACCATGTTTTCGGGCTATCTCATGGCCGCCGTCTACCACCTCGACGGCACCAACGGGTACCGCGGCTGGCAGTGGCTGTTCATCATCGACACCATCATCTCGCTGCCCATTGCCATTGCCGGCTTCTTCATGATGCCCGACGTGCCCGAGATCACGCGTGCCTGGTACTTTTCGCCCGACGAGATTGCCATTGCCAAGCGCCGCATGCAGCTCGAGGGCCGCGCCAACCGCGCGCCCTACACGCGCAAGAAGCTCGCGCGCATCTTCCGCAGCTGGCACCTGTACCTGCTGGTCCTCCTGTACATCCTGTTCAACAACGGCGCCGGCTTCGGCGGCCAGCCCGCGATGGCGCTCTGGCTCAAGTCCGAGGGCTACTCGGTCACCCAGTACAACGTCTACCCGACGTTTGGGTCCGTCGTCCAGGTCGTCTCGACCTTTGTGTACGCCTGGACCTCCGACACCGTCTTCAAGGGCGCCCGCTGGCCGCCCATTGTCTTTGCCGGCGCCGCCAACTTTGTGGTGTACGTCAGCTTTTCCGTCTGGACCATCCCTGCCGGCTGGAAGTGGGCCTGCTACCTGCTGGCGTATCTCGGCGGCGGCATCTCGGGGCTGACCTTTGCCTGGGCCCACGAGATCTGCAAGGACGACAACGAGGAGCGCGCCCTCGTCACCGGCGCCATGAACGAGATGGCCTACGTCGTCCAGGCCTGGCTGCCGCTCATCATCTGGCAGACCGTCGACGCGCCCAACTACCACAAGGGCTTCGTCACCGAAATCTTCATCAGCGTCGGCCTCATCTCCATTGCCTTTGTCATCCGCTTCCTGCACCGGCGCGAGCTGCAGCAAAAGGCGCGTGCCCAGCCGGACGCCGGCGGCGATCAAGAGGCGGCCGTAGGCAACGGAATCGAAGAGCGGAGCGAAGGCGAGGGCGCCGAGTCGGAGGTGGCGGCTGTCGACGGCAAGGCCATCCCGGTTACAGTGTCAGAAAAGTCGGGTTAGTGTACTGGAGAAGGGCCGTGGCCGATGACCGGACGAAGGTAGTGAAGAACAAATCAGGGATAGACTCTTGAGATCAATTAGCGCGTTCCCCTAAAACTCTTGAACACGTCGTAACACACAGTGAAAAGAGAAAGAGCAACCCACTGCACCGCAACGTGCCGGTGTCTTCCACCCCGTCATGGAAGGAGCTTGATGCGGCCTCTGGCGCCTTCCTGCGCTGGGATCTTATCTCCCTTCTTTCCCCTTTTATCAATCGTCCCTTAAACACGTGCACGGGCCAGGCCACTGCCAGCCAAGTAAACTGCCGGCGCGCGGACCCTCCCTGAGTCAACTCTGTCACTGGCCGTTCAAGGGTAGCTCTTCAGGGGAGATACCCACTCTGGGACAGCTACTGTCTCACTGTTGCACCCAACTCCCTTTTTGGGTCCGTTTGCTCACGGATAGAGAAGGAGCGAAGCTGGTTGCTCTTGCTGCTTGGCCAACCAGTTCGGGTCATTGCATTTCTACTGCCGAATTCTGTCCTTTCTTTTTTATTCTTCTTTATTTTTTATTTCTTTTATTCTCAACAGTCTCAGCAGCCTGTCACTGCCCCTGGTTTCTTGTCGAGTCACTGGTCCGCGAAATCCTGCCCTCTTGGCGAAACGCTCGCGTTGCTCCTCCCGACCACATTTTTCAGTGGTTGCAACTGGTCTCCTGATTTTGAATTTGCTCTTCTTCTTTTCTTTCCATTTCACCACGCAGGCAACGGCTTCGGCGTGTTTCTAGTTGTATCTTCCTCAAAACTCTACTCTTGATTCCTCATCACCCCAACTCTTCATATTCCAACATCCATCATGAGCGACAAGCCTGTTGAGACACCGGCCGCGGAGGTCAAGCCCGCCGACGGCGTCGAGGCGCCATCTGCTACAGCGGCTACAGCGACTACTGAGGCTGCTGAGGCTCCCGCCACCGAGACACCTGCTCCTACTGCTGACGAGACGAAGCCCGCGGAGACTGCTGCCGAGGAGAAGCCTGCCGAAGACAAACCTGCAGTTCCCGAGAAGCCTGCCGAGGCCGCTACTGCGGCTACCGCCGTCGAGGACAAGCCGGCTGTGCCCGAGAAGCCTGCTGCCTCCACGTCTGTCACCACACCCATCCAGACTCTCTATGCTGCCCAGCAGGAGCACGGCCATCCCGAGATCTGGGGCGTCACCCTCGCCGACCCGGCCACCCACGTCCCGAGCCAGGTTGTCTTCCAAAAGTACCTGAATGCCAACGACGGCGACCTCGCCAAGGCCAAGGACCAGCTGCTCAAGACGCTGACCTGGCGCGCCGCCACGAAGCCCCTGCAGCTGCTGCATCAGGCGTACAACCGTGAAAAGTTTGCCGGCCTGGGCTACGTGACGTCGTACCACAAGGACGGCGCCGACGGCCCGGAGGCCAAGGAGGTGTTTACGTGGAACGTCTACGGCAACACCAAGAGCATCGACAAGACGTTTGGCGACTTGAAAGAGTAGGTCCCCCGCTGTCAGCTGCGAAGCAGTGCCAACCGCAATGCCGCCACCACCACCACTCCACCACTCCACCACGCGTAGCTAACCTGACCAGATTCCTCCACTGGCGCGTCGCGCTGATGGAGCTCGCTCTCCTGGACCTCGACCTCGCCTCGGCCACCAAGCCAATCACCGCCGACTACGATCCCTACAAGATCTACCAGGTCCACGACTACAAGAGCATCAGCTTCCTGCGCCAGTCGGCCAGCGTCAAGGCCGCCAGCACCGAGACCATCAAGGTCTTTGCCCAAAACTACCCGGAGCTGCTCAAGGAGAAGTTCTTTGTCAACGTGCCGGCCATCATGGGCTTCGTCTACGCCTTTATGAAGCTGTTTGTCGCCGCCAAGACCATCAAGAAATTCCACCCAATGTCCAACGGAGGCGGTCTGGCGGCCGAGTTTGGCGCCAGCGCGATCCCAGACCTGGGCCAGCGTCTGCCCAAGGAGTACGGCGGCAAGGCGGGCGAGCTCAAGTCCTTGGGCAAGGAGACGAAGCTGGCCGCGGCTGCGGCTGAACAGCCCGCCAAGGAAGCCCCCAAGGAAGCCCCCAAGGAGGCACCGAAGGAGGCTCCCAAGGAGGAGACCCCGGCGGCGGCTGCCGTCGCGGAGCCTGCGAAGCCCGCCGAGGAGGCTGCTCCGGCCAAGGTCGAGGAGGCAACCCCCGCCGCTGCCCCGGTGGAGGCCGCTGGTGAGACGGCTGCCGAGCCCGCCGTCGAGGCTGCTGCCGAGACCAAGGCTTAAACTCAACTGTTTGCCAACACACGAACAAAACACATTGGCGACGAAGGAAGGGCGATATGTAATGGAGCGATAGCTGTGAAATACCCAGAATGCACGTGTCAGGCGACGGGGGAAGAGATAAAATAGGGAGAGAGAAAAGGAGGCCTGGTGTTGAAGACGGACGAGAGCAGCAAGCATTGGTTTTTTTTTGGGGGGTTTTTTTTTTCACATTTATTTCCGCTTTTTTTCTTTGAGTCCTTTTTTTATTTTCCAGTGATGGCCCTGGTGTCCATCCCACTTAATACCAGCTGTCGAAGCAACGAAGCGCCAGTTTGTTTTCACATTTGCCCAAGCCACGGCCGACACAGTTCAGACATACCACTATGCAGTCGATCTATTGTCCGTAGCGCAGCTTCCATTGCACGAGCTAGCAAACCCCACTACTGAGTATCGTTCTGTGGGGGAGCATGGCTTTACCATATGAAGATGCAGGCACTGGATGTGAACAGAAGGTTTTATCTCCCGTCCACAAAACCCAAAACATGCAAATGGACTCGAACACGGACACCGTACAGCAGTGGACAACCCTCCAGAACGGCCTCGAGCACCTCGCCCGGGCCACGGCGCCCATGCCGACGCCGGGTCCTGATGAGGTCCTCGTCAAGATCCACGCTGTCGCCCTCAACTACCGCGATACAGAGGTCTGCATGGGTCTCTACAACCACCACAAGGCCGTGGCGGCTGGCGGGCCCGAGCCGCTCGTGCCCTGCTCCGACATGTGCGGCACCGTCGTCGCCGTCGGTCCGAATTTGGAGTATGCGCACAGCGTCGGCGACCGCGTCGTCTCCCTCTTCAACCACATGCACCGCACCGGCCATGTCCGCGCGTCCGAAATGAACACCACACTGGGTCTGCCGCTGCCCGGCGTCCTCCAGACCTACCGCGTGTTTCCCAGCATCGGCCTGCTGCCGGCGCCCGCGTACCTCTCCGACGCCGAGGCCTGCTGTCTGCCCATTGCGTCCATCACGGCCTGGATGGCCATCAACGGGATGCGGCCGCTGGGTCGGCCGGGCGGACAGGGCGAGGTCGTCCTTCTGCAAGGCACGGGCGGTGTCAGTGTCGCGGGCCTGCAGATTGCCAAAGCCAGCGGCGCCACCGCCGTGGTGACCTCGTCGTCCGACGCGAAGCTCGCTATCGCCAAGAGCATGGGCGCCGACCACCTGATCAACTACACGACGACACCGCGCTGGGCGGACGCCGTGCTGGAATGCACCGCGGGCCACGGCGCCGACATCATCTTTGAGAACGGTGGCGCCTCGACGCTGCGGCAGTCATTTGACGCCGTGGCCTTTGGCGGGATCATCAACTGCATTGGCTACTTGGGCGGCAAGACCGACAAACGGGTGTCGGACGACAACGACGACAACGACGACGACGATCGCACGGCCATCAACGTGCTCGCACTACGGCGCAACATGACGCTGCGCGGCATCCTAAACGGCCCGCGGGACCGGTTCGAAGAGATGCTCCAGTTCTACAAGGAGACGAAGATTCGGCCCGTGGTGCACCGCGTGTTTGCCTTTGACGAAGGCCGTGACGCCATACAGTATCTGTTCAGCGGCCAGCACTTTGGCAAGGTGGTGATCCAAGTGTCGGCAGAGGCCACGCTGCCGCCGACATTAGAGTGATGCTACGATACGAAGAGGAAATAAAACAATACAAAGTTCACACAAAATGCATCTTTGGCATACGGACAGAAGATGGGGAAAATGGGAAAGCCGGCAAGGGGCGCCGGTCGGTCTCTGAGGCCGTTGCTCGATTTGAAAATCGAAGCGAATTGGTTTTTTGTCTTCCGTTTTTGGTAGATTGACATATCCTGCCGTTGCCCGTAGGCCGCTCAAGGCAAGGAAAAAGAGGGGGATAAAGCAAAATAAACAACACACAAAACGCCTTTTGTCGTACCGTAGACCCATGCCATGAAATTGTATACAACGTCATTTCATTTTTTTGGTCCTTCCTAACCCGATTTTTCAAGTGCTTTTGTATATTCTCCGGTGGAAGAGTCCCGCTTAGCGGACAATGCCGTCGAAGCGCGACTTGAACCACTTGACGGTCTCGTCGCGGTTGATCTTGTGGCTGGAGCCAACGCGGGCCTTGGCGCGGCGGCGGCGCGAGACGCGCTCGCCGGGGCGGGTCATGCAGCAGTAAAAGTCCATGCCGTAAATGCCGATGCCGGGGTCGTACTTGATGCCCAGGTCGATGTGCTCGCTGATACCGAAGCCAAAGTTGCCCGTCTCCGAGAAGTTGCGCTTGCGCAGCTCGTACTCCTTGACCTTGAGGCCGCGCTCCAGGATCTCCTCGGCCTTGGGGCCGCGGATGGTGACGTGGACCGAGATCTTCTCGTTACGGCGGATGCCGAAAGTGCGGACGGTGTAGCGGGCCTTGGAGTAAACGGGGGTCTGACCAGACAGCTGCTCCAGCACCTTGGCGGCACGGGTCAGTCTGTCACCCGACTCGCCCACGGAGATGTTGAGGACGAGCTTCTGGATGCGGAGCTCCCGCATGGGGTTGGCGGCCTTGTCGGACTGCGACGAGTTAGATGCGAACATGATCAAGAGATTGAGATTGAAACGAAGACTGGGCGGAGAATGCCTACCATTTTGATGGTTGCCTCGAGGGTTGTTGAGGAATTGGGTGATGTTGTCGTTGGTTGGCGGTTGTCGATGAAGGAAGAGTGAAAAGAGGCGATGCGAAATTTCGGGGGGAATATTAGAGTGGGCAATTTTCTGGGTGCGAAAATATTTTGTGCGGGCGGTGACACTGCAATTGCAGAGGGATTGGAGACAAAAAACCCTATCAGTACAGTCACGTGCGACGCTGCCAGTCAGAGCCCCGTCTTGGGTGGGCGACGAACTTAACTCCGATGAGAGCTCTGAAAGGCTATCTGACTTATGTCATCCTGACCCACAGTCCTCACCGCCCGCGACGGCAGAAACTTTGGCATTGGCGCCTGGCGTTTTGTTGATGGCGGTTTCGCGATACCTCACGTCGACCTCTCCCTTTCCCTCTCCCTCCCCTCCTCAGGCATCCCCAAGCATCTCACAGCGGCCACTCTTGTCAAGACGAACCATCTTTCCAAGACGAAACTGCGCCGAAGCTTCTCCTACCGAGAGCTTTGAAGAACCTCCCTCCGGGAAGACGCTTGGCGAGAAGCTTTGGCTCAATTTTTGAAACCCCCTTCTTTCACAAGGAAGCTTGTTTGGCTGCCCAGCAGCAGCGAAAGTTGCCCAAGATGGCGTCCAACAAGCAGGGCAAGATGGTGCGTTCCCTGCCCCCCACCGCGAAGCTGCTTTCTGTGTCGGCGTCCATACTAACAGAGCATATCACGTCTAGGCCGGATACGTACGTTCCATATGTCCATACAGCTCCATCGAGAGCTCCCTTGTCCCCTCCCTACTCTGCGCGTTGCTGACGTTTGCTATCAGATCAACTACCGTATGCGCATCACGCTCAACGACGGCCGCCAGATGACCGGCCAGATGCTCGCCTTTGACAAGCACATGAACCTCGTCCTCGCCGATACCGAAGAGTTCCGCCGCATTCGCCGCAAAGAGACCAAGCCTGCCGCGTCTGGCTCCGGCGGCAGCGGCCAGGCGACGACCACCACCATCGAGCGCGAAGAGAAGCGCACGCTCGGTCTCGCCATCGTCCGCGGCGCCCACATCGTCTCGCTGTCTGTTGAGTCGCCGCCCCCGGCCGACCCCAGTGCCCGCCTCGGCAAAGCGCCCACGGCCGGCGTAGCTTCCGGCCTGGCGGCTGGTCCTGGTGTTGCGCGGCCAGCCGGTCGTGGTGCACCTGCGCCCATAGCACTGGCCGGCCCGGCAGCGGGCGTCGGTGGTCCCGGCCAGCCTTTCCCGCCTGGCTTCCCAGGCGCGCCCGGCTTCGGCCGCGGTGGTCGTACGTCTACCTTCTACCTTCTGCCTTCTCCCCGTCCCGTCGCTCAAAGCCGACGCACCAGGTCGTTTTCCAGTGCTAACAAGACAGCTCCCCCCGGCTTCCCTGGCGGCAGCGGCTTCCCGCCGGCTGGCTTCCCTGGCGGCCCCGCTGGTTTTGCGCCGCCGCCTGGCTTCCCTGGCGGCGGCGGCCCACCACCCGGCTTCAACGCACCCCCACGGCGGTAAAAGCTTTGTGGCACGTTGCGGTTGGCTGTCAACAGGCGGTTCGACGGTGTGTTTGCCGAGATTATGGCAGCATCTAGTGTGTCTTGGTCATATCCAAGAGGCTAAAAGGTTATTTTGTTGTTTCTACTTTTCCACATACGGCGTTTCAGAGTTATGGCACCACATCAAAATGGGGCGAGAATCCGAGTAAAAGGCAATATACAAAAATTTGTGGCATACTATCTCATACAACTACTTTGTGCGTCAGTCAGACCCTTGACAGTTGAGTTGTCGTAGCTGTTGGGATGGGCATTGTTTACATTAGAGCGAGTTTACTCCAATACACGCGTGTTGCACACGTTGCATCTTCGTAAATTAGCATCTGTTACGCTCTCGGCAGATTGTTCACAGTTGTTCACAGTTGTTGGGTCCTTATTGTCGTCCAATATGCGCACGTGACCGTTATCGCGCGTTTTCGCTCGATGCGATTCAGCGCGAGAAGCCGTTGTAGGAAATCCGGACATAGAGGGGCAAGTCCGACGTTTCCGCCTGTTATCAGGGCGAAGCACCTAGCACTCACAGGCCTTTCAGGGCGTTTTCAGGGCGCACAAAGTCCCTGTGGAACATTTTCCCCAACCAAATTCCCGCCAACCAATCACTCCACATTATTCTCATTTGGTGACCAACCAACTCGTTGCGCATCAAACTTTCTGCTCCAAACATCGATCCAACAAACAACACAATCCCTTTTTTGACATCTCTCCTGTCTTTCCTCCCGCGACAACACACATCATGGCGGCGTTTATAAAGGCGGCGAACGCCAAGATCCGGTCGAACCCGGTGACCGACTACATCTGCTCAACGCGTATGTATTTTGCTGTTTTGCTGTGCTTTCTTGTCCCAAAATTTATGACTCCCTCCGCTCGTCGGACCGCCCTTGTCCGCAATGTCCGTACGACCAACACTATGCTCTACCACGTCCGCCCGCACTGCAACGACGACGACACATGCAAGCGCACGATACGCAAGAGTGGGATATGCCATTGAATCGACGTTCGAGGGCAAAGGTCTCGAGATGTGGTCGTCGGCGTTGGTTCGGCCCTTGCGTCGTTGTCGCCGATGACCGGCAGTGAGCCACCTCGGCCCGGGCTCGAGCGATGCGGGTGAAGCATGTCTATACCTCTCTGTGTTGCATACATACGGTGCACGGGTGGCCAATGCGGCCGTGGCGGTGCCGGCGGCGCACAGTTGGGCTGGTCCCGGCACCAGCATGGAACGGGCAACAATGGACGCCATTGTTGAAGAGCGTTGGCCATTGTGTTGCTAGGTCGCTACGGTGCCTCCGTCACCAGCTTGACTGCACTCCATCTTTATGTTTTCGAACTGGCGCGTGCTTTTCTGTACAACAAGACCGACAGCGGACAGCAACGATCGGGCGTGCGGACGGAGTCATGTGCCTCGTCCTCGTCCTGTGCCTACGATGGATCCTTACTAACACTCTGTTCTCGCATCCAGACTTCTGGGGCCCCGTCTCCAACTTTGGCATCCCGATCGCCGCCGTCATGGACACCCAAAAAAGTCCGGATCTGTAGGTCATCTGTCCCTCGTCCGAACCGACAAATACGTTTGCATCTATGCGCTCCGTCCCCATACGTCCCCGCTAATGCCTCCTGCAGGATCTCCGGCAAGATGACGTTTGCCCTCGTCATCTACTCGGCCACGTTCATGCGCTACGCGCTGGCCGTCACCCCCAAGAACTACCTCCTTTTCCTCTGCCATTTCATCAACGAGGGCTCGCAGCTGACCCAGGGCTACCGCTACATGAACTACAACCACTGGGGCGGCAAGGACGCCGCGTCGTCCGCCACGTCGAGCGTAAAGGGCGCGCTGGAGGCAGCCAAAACACAGGCCAAGGCCGCCGAGGCCAAGGTGGAGGCTGCCGTGAAGAAGTAAAGGGTGAACGATGGAGACGACTTTGTTGCGAGGTGGAGGGGCGGAGGCGACATACAATGGGATAAGGGACGGTGGAGAACGAGGAAAATCAAGAGGTCCTTTATAAGCAAGGGACGTTCATCTGTCAATCTATCGGCACATCCTACTCGGTCTGCAAAAGCTACCAAGATCAACAAATTCAAACGTTTTTCATGTGTCCAAAGCGGACAGCCAGGGTGACGATAAAGGATGGGGTCGTGGGATTTGTCGACAAGCGTATTGGGTTGTCAAGTTGCGCGGATGCACATCGTTGGCATTGCATCGTGTCTTGGAGATATCCCGAACATGTCTGAGAGCTTGTCATGGCATCGGCAATGGGAACAGTAGGAGTACATAATTTTACTTGCTCAAACTATCTCGTCACATCTTCCGACATGTCTTAATGAGAACATGAGTGCTGGAACCAGCCAAGATTACCCAGTCACAGCTGGAACCAGCACCGCAGATACATAGCAGACGATGTGACACGTGGACCGGCCAAGACCGCGCAGACTTGTCCTGTACAATGGATAGATAGGGCAACCGAAGCGAGCGGCAGCAATAACAATGCACCACGGCTGCCGGCGTGCCAAGAAATGCTCTCTGCTGCTTTGCAGGAACCGATGGTGAAGCTACAGGCATGTCTGGTGTCTCATCGTACGTCTTGCTGGGGACACAATGTCTGGCCACTCTCCTCATCTCAGGTGATTCTGTAAATCCTGTCTATTTTGTGACTCTTGTCCAACCGCCGCGGCTTGGCAGTGTCGGTGAGTAACCTCTTGGCCAAAAGCTAAGACGCGTCGGTGGCTATGATGTATCATCCTGTGATATAAAACTATCGCATCTGCTGCTGTGGTTGGCCAGTTGTTGATGCGTACGCAACAGAAGAGTATCTCCGTTTTGTGATGCCTCGTAGTGTCTTAAAAAGATTTTATTTGGGAAAGTTAATACAACTATATTATTGTATTTTCTATTATTTTGTACTTGAAATTGGTCTCTTTGAGATATATAAATGAATGTAGTGGAGGTGTGCTTTAATGCATTTAAGTAGATTTTATATTACACATTGATAAAATATTATGAAAAATTCCAAAATCATATTTGAAGATTTTATCACAGTTTTCCAGAACAAGTCTGCCCGAACTGTCAAGTCCTGGGAGTACGCTTCTCTCCGCACACTTTGTGGTCCGTATGTCGGTTGACGACTGTTGTTTACTTGTTCGATTGGCTAATCGGAGGCTGGCGCCGGAAGTAGCCTTACCGGACATACACCGAACGACCCAACAGTCGGCATGGAAGCAAGCTGGACATCCATCCACGCTCAATGCCCATTGGCTCCTCATTTTTGCTCCATGTCTACTTCATACATGGCACACGGCTTCCTTTCTTTTGTCATTGGGTCTCGAGGTCGCCTCTTCTTTCCCCGGTTTCTATTTTCTTCCCGACGATTTCCGGGATTCCGGGACCACCCGGACGAACGACGGCAGAAGGGCCCAGAAGAGGGGAACGGGGCTATGAGTATCCCAGTATATGTCGTAAACAGGGGTTAGACAAGAAAAGAAAATCAGGCGCAGGAACGGCTGTCGTAGTCAAAGTCCTACAGAAAAAGTGAATGAAACCTGTTGAGCCAGACCTGGAGACAGTTTTGTGGGGAAGAGCCCGAGAACGACGAGATACATGACGAGGTTACAAAGAGAGCTCAGCTCCGTAAAATAGGTATAATTCTCTAATACCCTGTTGGTTGTACAATTTTTCTGCTCTGATTGGAGAACGGAAGGCCGTTAACCTGTGTAAATGATTGCATTTTGGGCACCCAGCAGCCCTGGGATGAAGGCAGCAGCATTCTTGTACGTTTGCCTTCCTCTTTTGTTTACGAAGAACAACCTTGCGATCCATTTGCTCATTTCCACCGCCAAGGTCACATTAACAAGCACACCATCCTTGTTGTCGGCTCCCTCGTCCCTCGCCGTTCTCGCCCTTTGTTCGGAGAAAGCTTTGATGATAATGGACGAGGATGTTGGATATATGGCTTGCAAGCTTAGTGCTTCTCGTGTTGGCATACATGCGGATTAGCTTATCATTTCCCCCGTACCCCAGTCTTGCACATGCCATGCATTTTGTTGAACTCCGTAGTGCACACATTGATCGTAGTTTCATGGGGAGCTATCTGGCCCTTTTTCGTTTACTTCGTCTTCTTGGCACCTTTTTGGGCGTCGGGAGAAGCCGGCAGTCTTGCGTGTTTGGTGGGCGTTGCCATGCTCTCCAAGCCGCCAGGTGAAGCAGCTCGACAAACCAAAGCAGAAACGACGGACGAGTCTATCGTCAGGAGTGGCAGACCAATTGTGTTGCATTTTGCAGTTTTGTGTCGGTTGTGTTTTGCCATATTCTTCTAGCGTTGCCAACACGGACTAGATAATCTAAAGGCTATCTAGTCAATGTGGCATCTCATCTGCATCGGCACAGTTCTGCACCTCATTGAAAAGGATGCAGTTGGCATCAGGTAATACGATGCGGGCAAGCTAACGAGTCTCAGCCCTGAGCTATCGGCACGACGCGAGAAATGCGTTGGGAAACAGAGCAATGCCAGTGTCAAATAGTTAAAGGTCCGCTAAGGAACGTTAACGCGGGGTTCCGCGAAGAGAGAATACTGGCTGCGGCAAACGTCGTGATTTGCTAATACTACCCCAAGTCCTAAAGCTCTGTAAAAGGCATTTGTTTGCGAGCAAGGCGCCGTCCAACCGGAGTGGGTGAGCTGTGACTTGCTGTGAGGTAACAAAACCAGAATTCTAAGACGAAGATCCAAAAGCAAATTGGCAGATCCAGTAAAGCAAAGGGACAAAGAGGGATGGAGGGACGGAGGGGCAATATGAATTCCGGTTTTCACCCGCGCCATGCGATTTTCCATGATCAATTCATATTTGTTTTATATCAACAGAAAATGGGGGGCATGGACTGGGAGGATGCAGGATTGGGGATTGTGAGATGGGGGTCCTGGCTGCCGGCGGAGAACCCAAGCCGGGCCCAGCTTGGATCTAAGATGGGGGTAAACTTCAGCCTCTGGACGCAATGCAGACTTTGTGCAGGTAAATGATCTTGTCCCACGAGGTACATTCGTATATGACTCAGTCGCGGTGACCCGTGAGCTGTGGTGAGCACGAGGGACAAAAAAAGCAATGATGGCTCTGTGGGTGGGCCGGCCAAGATCGAGAACAGGGAAAATAAAAACCGCATTCTGTTAAAATGCCATCTTTTTTGAAATTGAATTTCGATTTCTCCGTTCTGATTTTGTAGTGGTTGGTGACCGGTCACATTCGTCGCTATTTTCGCTGCCTTTCCCACGGGTAATTTCACTCGCGTCAGCCGAGGTCGGAGGCGCCAATGGGAACAAAAAAAAAAGGTTTGGACAGGACATGCAGGACTTCGAGTTGGTTCAGTTGCACTCCGTCCGTCAACTCGGGACGGTAGGGCGATGGCCCGAAAAGGCTAGTTTTTGGTCGGTGCTGTTTCCTTTTTTATTTCCTGTCTTGGTCTTTTACCTGCTTGGGTTCATGAATGGACCTGGGCTTGGCCATTGTTGTCCATCCGCCTCTCAATGGCAAAAGAGAGCTCCGAAGGAGATTTTGGTTAACGCACCCGTGATGGGCGGCCCACGGCGGCTACAAAAGTCATCTGCACCTAGGCGGTGTAAGACGACGTGCTGTGCTCATGCTGTTGTGCTCCATATATGTGAGACTCCGGGTATGATCATTGCCCTGATTTCTGATTGGCATCACAATTGTGCTCGGTAGATAGGTGGTACTTTTCCTTGGCGATCGACGCCCATTATTTCACAGGCCGATGGGAATAGCCAAGACTCCCCAGAACGGCCGAGATGCAATGCATGGCAGTGTCAAGAAGTAATTGGCAAAAGAACGGTGAGGTATGCACGCGCTGTTGTCGAAGGCGCGTTCCCCAAACAGCTTGATCCAGATTGGAGCGGCCATCTTGTCGAACCCAGCCTCGGTCTCCCTGGTACCGCCTTGTGGCACACTCCTCTCCCGCTAGTGGGGGTCTCCAACAGAAGCTGGCAGCTGGAGGTGTTGGTAGCCCTAACACGGGCCCAGGACATACGATTTGCTCGGCATAAAGGAAGACGAGAAACGTCCCAAGATACAGTCGTTGGCCAGACCCTGGAGGACAGGGCCGCGCCCTATCTAGCCACTATCAACGGACATTTGGCGCTTTGTGATTTTCGTCTGTTGGCCCTGTCACGGCGATCTTCGATCTGGGAGAAGGCAGGAATTTTCGTTGGTCACAGGCGTCGATGTTGCTTGGCCGTCATTATCCTCGGCTGAACGAAGAGAACGATAACGAGAACAACGAAAACGGAGTGATGACGACACATTGGATAAAAGGAAGGCCAAAGGGTACATTGATATGGTTAACCGCGTGCGACAACGTGTATTTCATCGTCTATGTCGAAGGAATGTTGTATTTTGGAGATTGTGAACGGAGATGCTGTTTCTCCCCTGGCCATCTCCCTTGGCTCAGGGGCAGCCAACAAGGAGCTCGAAAATGGTCCGTGGATTAAACAGCAATTGGCAGGAACGCCCGTTGACAAAGGTCGCTCTTGCAGGTTCTGTTGAAGAAGACTGCACAGGCATGAATGTTGGGTTCCCGTCCAGAGAAGGCACGATGGGGCGCACCTTTCTTATTGCTCGGCAGCAATTGGCTATTGGACCCCTCGCGCCTCCCCATATCTTTTTCTCGGCCGGCGTACCTTCCCAGTCTTCAAAGCACATGCTGCCCTACCTAGTGGGAAACCGTAATCCGCTGGCACCTGCCATTTTGCCTGCCCCTCCTCACCGTTCTGTATTTCGCCTTTTTTATTTTATTCGCCGTCTTCTTTGGTCTGCTGTGTTGCTCGTCGCTTCCCGAGGCGAGTCGTACCTTTGCCCACGGCAAACAGCGCCTAGCCTCGCTTTTTGCATACTCTGTAGCCG